CCCTCGCCTTCCCTCTCACTGTCCTGTGGCCACACTTACCTTCTTTCAGCTCCCCTAACATGCCCAGATCTTTCTTGCCTGGGAGCCTCTGGCTGACGACCCTCCTCCCTATGACATTTACATGGCTGCCTCCCCTCCTCCTTCTGGTCTCAGCTTCAAGGCCTTCCCTCAGAGAATTCTCTCTCGGGCTTCCCTGGTGGCGCAGTGGTTGAGAGTCCGCTTGCGGATGCAGGGGATGTGGGTTCATGCCCTGGTCCGGGAAGATCCCACATGCCGCGGAGCGGCTGGGCCCGTGAGCTATAGTTACTGAGCCTGCGCATCCGGAGCCTGTGCCCGCAACAGGAGAGGCCGCAACAGTGAGAGGCCTGCGTACCACAAAAAAAAAAAAAAAAAAAAAAAATAGAGAGAGAGTCCTTTCCTAACCGCCATGAAGTAGTTCCTTCTGTAGTCTCTCCCTGGGCCCTCTGCTCACGTCCCTCAAGCACTTATCATTTAGTTTGTTTCCGTGTGTGTGTGTGTCTGTGTGTGCCTCCCCAACCCGACCGTAAGCTTTAAGAAGAAAGGGTGACATCTTTGGGTTTTTATTGACTGTTGCAACCCCAGGGCCTTTGCCCAGTGTATGGCCCATAGTAGGTCCTTGAATTGTTGCTAAACGAATATATGAATATCCATTCATATGGTGAATAAAGTGGAATTTGTGATTTTGGAGAAACAGGAAAAGTGAAACTTCACAGGTTTAAGAAAACTGGAGCAGGGTGTCCAGGGGCGGTGCTTTTGGCAAAGCCATCCCAGCAGAAAAGGTGCCAGTTTGAGGGAGAGGCTTGGGAATTAATCACAGCCACCGAGACCAGAAAGTTTGAGAAATTAAGATGCTTAGAGAACCCTCACACCAAACTGTGGGCTGCATGGTGTAGAAATAATACTGAGTTTCTGTCTTTATAATACATTTAGAGGTTTTGGGGGGAGGAGCGATGGGGATGCAGATGAGAGAAGGGAGAAAAACGGAACTGTCAGACTCAAAGCAATTAAGTCCGTCAGAATGGAACAACCAGCTAAGGAGGGTGAATTTCTTGGCGTATAAACCTCCACGTGGCCCCTCTGTGCTTTGGATATGCAAATGTCTTTACCAACTGGCGGCACCCCAGGAAGGAACAGCCTCCTCATCCACCCAGAGTCTTGCACCTGCTCCGGAATCTTATCACAGTGCTCTAGGTGTAATTAACCTGAGTGATGACATGCCCTTGAGGTGCCTGTCAGAAACTCCCTTCCCAAAGGGCCGTCAAGCCCTCTCTAGGGGATCAGAAACGGAGGGAAGAGGGAAGCCCAGGGCCTGCATCACTAGCATGTAAGCTCCAGGAAGAGGACTGCGGCAGGTACTCAGACATACTGTCAGGCAACTGCAAGCATGCAACAATTATCTGTATGTTTAATTAGTGTCAGAAAGAGTCCTACAGCGGAAATGATGTTCCCCGTTCCAGCCCAGCCTCTGCCTGGTCAGGCACAGCTAATGCCTCTGCGTGTGGTTTTACAACACACAAAGGTGCTGTCTGAACTAGCAGCTGATCTGGTCTCTGTTTCCTCCCATATAAAACCACATAGTCCGTTCTAGCTTTAAAATTCAATGTATCAGGGCTTCCCTGGTGGCGCAGTGGTTGAGAGTCCGCCTGCCGATGCAGGGGACGCGGGTTCGTGCCCCGGTCTGGGAAGATCCCACATGCCGCGGAGCGGCTGGGCCCGTGAGCCATGGCCACCGAGCCTGCGCGTCCAGAGCCTGTGCTCCGCAACGGGAGAGGCCACAACTGTGAGAGGCCCGCGTACCGCAAAAAAAAAAAAAAAAAAAAAAAAAAAAAAAAATTCAATGTATCAATATATCTGTGGATCATCTATCTATCAATGCATGTTTGTTCGCTGCCCACTGATACAGTAGGAGTGGACTGGGTTTACGGTTGTCAGATAAAATATAGGACCCTCAGTTAAATTTAAATTTCAGATAAGTAATACCTTTTAAATATAAGTACGTGCATGCAATGTTGGGGACAATTATTTGGGACATTTGCTAAATCTGACAGTTTTAGCTATTTGTCTTCTATCCTCCAAATACTGTAATCTTTTGGAGGAACAGGAACAGGATCTTATTCATCTTTGGAATCCCTTGCAATTGTGTCTGCCAGATTTCACAGACTAAATATAATTGGATATTTTTGAAAGAAAAACTACTTTTAATTTTGGTAAATAAAGGCATTTATGACATTCATCACTTTACTAAAGAAAAGTCGTTTTTTGTTTTTTGTTTTTTTGCGGTACGCGGGCCTCTCACTGTTGTGGCCTCTCCCGTTGCAGAGCACAGTCTCCGGACACGCAGGCTCAGTGGCCATGGCTCACGGGCCCAGCCGCTCCGCGGCATGTGGGATCTTCCCCGACCGGGGCACGAACCCGTGTCCCCTGCATCGGCAGGCGGACTCTCAACCACTGTGCCACCAGGGAAGCCCTCAAGCCATTTTTATGTAATTTTACAAAATTATATAAATCTTTTTAAAAATTAACTTTACAAGATGCCTATCACATTGTCCTTTTGTTCGTGTGTGCCTAAGGCAACCAGGTGACACTTCAAACCAGTTGGCACCGCCCAGCTGACCCGCATTTAGGAGCTTCTGCTGTGCGGTGTTTATTTGAAGGCCTTGCACGATGTTTTCACTTTTTTGCTTTAGCTGCCAGGAAGCCCTGAGTTAGTTTGGAGCTCAGCTGCTATAACTAGGCTGTTCTCTCCCTGCATTCCTTGGCTCCAGGCGCTTTCTTCCAGGCCTTTAAACCTTTTCAATGAAAGAATTTTTACTATAAGTTGCCTGAAGAACTTTGGAAGTATAGAAATTGAAATTTAAAAAGCCGTGCATGTAACAGTACTCAATAAACGGTGCTGTTGACAAAGCAGGTATGAACAACGAGTGGTATTTGATTAGTTTACTTTCTGAAGACAAGGTTTTTTTTAACTGAATTCTTTTTTTATATAACATCTTTATTGGAGTATAATTCTAATTTCACATTCTTAGAATTTTTGAATGTTTGAGCCAGAAAGGTAAGTACAACTTTTAGCTCAAATCCAGACTTCCCAAATTGGGATTTTGATCCCATGAATCCGTAGGAATACTACAATCCAAGCTCCACTGGTCCACATGCCTTCTTAGCACACATCAAAGGGCGATATGTCATTCTACAGGTGAGCCAACTGAGCACAGCCAAGGGCAGTGACTGTCGTATGAATTGGTAGCAGACGTGGGTGAAGTGCCCAGCACCCAGCTTTCTTAGCAAATTAACTGAGTCTGCTGGGGAATAGAAAGGGCAGGGAAAGATGTTCATTCATTTCTGTTCACACTATATAGTAAGAAATGGCTGCTGGGTGTAGAGAAATGAAGGACCTGAGAAGATTGACCTCAAATAATAGGAACATCCCTCTCCCATCTGTTCTGGGATTTCACAGTTCACTAAGTGCTTCTCCCGTATTTTCTCAATTTGATCCTCACCACAACAAGGAGATTTAGCAAGGTAGTACTGTTTTCTCGTCCTAACTTTACAGATGAGAACTTAGAGGCATGGTCGTGTGTTGATGTGGCCAATAAAAGGGGTGGAGCTGAGATTTGAACACTATCTAGTGCTGAAATTCACTCAAGGCCTGTAGCCAGGCCAATGTTTTTGTCATTTAAAAAACCAACCCGATTTATTTTTTCAAAAGTCACACAACTTCTATATGATTATTATAAGAAAATTCAAATAATTCAGAAAAATATAGATTAAAAAGGAAAGGAGTGTATCCCATCCTCCCCTGTTCCTGAACTATGAGTTTACATGCATTTATAGGTAGGATTTTTATTTTTAATGCATCAAACTATACACATTGATGTGCTTTGTTTTTCTTAATAATACATCTTGGCCATTTTTCCAAATCCTTAAGTAGAGATCTACCTCTTTGTTTTTAAATGAGCCATGTTTGAAAATAGAATAGCAACGTTTATGTGAATACTGATGACAGGGAAATATTATATTTACCACCAATATTTAATAGTGGAGTTGATTATGGAATGGAAAGGGTGTTGGTGCTCAGAAATGGGGTAAACTGACTCTGATAGTGTCAGCTTACTAATTTTCTCTCAAAAGTGTGGGTTCCAGAGTCAGAATCACAAATAGGCTAATAAGGCTTTGAAAAAGTTATCCAATAGCTGCTCAGTTTTCCTATCTGTAAAAGGGGGATACAAATACTGTGTGTTCCTTAAGGTTGTAGTGAGGATTAAATGAGATAATTCACATTAAATGCTCAACACAATGACTGATGAAGACAGTGGTGATGACAACAATGACAGTGACGACAATGCTAATTCTCTTTTGATCCAAGAAGGTCAGGTCGGGGTTGGAACAGCAGGTGGTGCTTAAATTGCAAGGTTATCAAATCAGGAATGGATACCCCTGGGGATACTTTTGTTAAGAGCTACCAAATCCGTCGGCCCGTCTCTCCGTATTACTATGAGATTAGCCACAGCTGCACTATCTTTGGCTTGTCAAATCAAACTCTGTGTTACTACGATGTTGTACATTTTGCACAGCTCATATTGCTTCCTTCCTGGGTGCTAATAAAAATAAGGAAGAGCAAGTAAAACAAAAACCTCCGACAACTCCTGACAGCGTGACTCCAGTTTTGGAAACAACAACCCAGGCTTTCACGGTCCGGGGCTTGCTGAAACCTTTAAGGGACTCGAGGACTACAATTCCCAGGGTGCACCATTTCAGCCCCGCCCACGACGTTGTGTCTCCTAATTCTCGCCAGGCCCCGAGTTCAAACTACAAATCCCAGATGGCCCTGCAGCACCGCTCGGGTCTCCCGTCTGAGGTCTTTCAGTTTTTAAAGCGTAAAGGGGGCCGCGTTGCCCTCTGGGAAGTGTAGTTCCTCGGGGAGCGACCACCACCACCAGCACTACCTCTGAGGCCTAGCTGCTGAAATAAGGCGAGCGAACTGAACTGGCAGCGCTCGAATAACTGGGCCTAACCGGCCACCCGGAAGAGTAACCTGGCTCGGGGCGGCCCTGGAGACGCGCCTGGCTTCGGGGTCGGGCGCTAATGTGGCTCACGTTCTAGGCCTCACCGGGTGAGAAGGTAAACTGGGAGGAAGGCGACGGTGGCGGACGAGACCAGATGCCACACTGGAGCAGGGAGTGGGCCAACGGAAAGGGTGAATCCAAGTGGAGATGATAGGGGTGGGAGTGGCGCTCCCATACTGCCAGGTCGGGGAGAGGCGCGCCCCCAAAATGGGGTGGAACACAGGTCTCAGCACAATGAAGAGGGGCGTCCATGTAGTGGGATGGCTTTATGGTTTGGGGCTGATCAATGGGACTTCATCCCATGGCGTCGTCTCCCCTGGCTAGTGGAGGCAGCGCACCTGGCCTTGGACCTGGAGAGTCTGGGGGCGCAGCGGAGCGCTGATTGGAAAGTTAGGCAGGAGTGTTTTACCCGGGGAGCCTGAGAACTGCAGCCGAGCTCGGGAACGATGCCTTTCCCTAACCCCTTCTTAACTGCTGGTGGTTGGAGGAAGTGGAAGGTCTCTAGGGATCGATGTTTGGAGTTTTGGTCAAAGAGAGTCCCAGCAGGAAGGAAACCTTTTTACCCTCGGGCGCTTCTCAGAAGCCCCCCCCCCACCTTGTCATATTATAAACATTGCGTGTCGTTACATTGGGTAGCGGCGGCTCTTCAGTTCGAATCAAGCCAGAGAAATTGGTGTCCAGCGCCTGGGTCTAGAGTATTGTAAAAGTGGCTCAGCTCATAGAAGAATGACCTAAGTAAATTAATTTGAAAAAATAAGTCGGGATAGGGATACAAAACTGAACATATATAATGATCCTATTTTGTAATAAATCATCAGTCTTCCAAATATTATACATGACCTGTATCTATGGATATGGATAGAAAAAAATCAGAATTACACTGTACTCTAAACTATGAACAGTGGTTATTGATGGATACTGAGATTACACATTAATTTTACTCTTTTCTTTACATCTTTATGTAGCATCTGAATTTGTACAATGAGTGTATTACTTTTTTTTTTCCCTTATTTTTCCAGAAGAGTCAGTCACTCGTTGCTCTATGGTGGTGGGTTTACCACCTGCAGATTGACTTGCCAGGAATGATAAAACGATGGTATTCGAGGGGTGAATTTAGTGTGCAGTGTATGTGACGCTAATGCTTTTTTCCTTCTTCCAGGTTGGAAAGAGGCTGTTTTAGCAAGTGTCACGCCATGGTATGTGTTTGTTTTGGTCTATGTCAATCTAGTCCATTATCCTTTCTAGTTTGAAATGTCGCCCTTCTCATTATCCGATGGATTTAGGTTGCACTGTATAACTTTTTGGGATCTGATAACTCATGTTGGCTGGTGGATGAGAGGGAGAAAAATATTGCGGTTGAAATACCTTTTTGGCTTTGGATTTGATCGACCTTGCTTTTTACTTTTTGTCAGAGTCATGGTTTTGGGCATATGCTACCTACTATCTGTGTGGGTATGTGTTTGATTATAAAAGAAACTTTCATATATCCTTTGGCTCCTTGTGCATTTCCTGGGACAAAAGCTTGTTAAAATCAAGGTACGCAAATACATACATTTAATGTTTATTTTAATATTGTTTTTCCCTTCTCAGCTTTTGCCAAGTTTCCGATTAAAGATTGACATTCCTGCATGAACATTTCCCTGTTAAAATGTCCTTGCCTCTTACAGAGGAGCAGAGGAAAAAAATTGAAGAGAATCGGCAAAAGGCTTTGGCCCGTAGAGCTGAGAAATTATTAGCAGGACAGCATCAGAACACAGTCTCGGGCTCCTCCATTGCTGCCAAACCTTCCCAGTCCAAGCAGGGCCCTTCCACACACCTCCACCAGGATCCTTCTAAGTCAGGGAGCCATGGTGTCGTTTTCAAGCAACAGAATCCCAGGAGTTCATCTGATGGTGATCAGAGACCTCAAAATTCCCACAGTTTTCAACTCAGCACCTCAGAGCAGGCAAAGGGGACATGGCAGAGGCAAGAAGAGATGCCCACAGCCTGCCCGAGCCACCGCCCACCAAATCAAGTGACTCTCGCTGGGATCTCCCCTCCCTTGGCAAACAGTCCTCCAGTGGTCTCCAGCGAGCAGCTCTGGGTTTATGGGTTAGAGCAAGGTCAGATTCAGGCTTCGCACAAGACCAAATCGACACCCTTTGTTAACACAACTCATGAGCCTTTGGCCAGAGCAAAGAATTTCCAGGAGATGACAGCTTCTTCCTCTGGACAGCCTCCCAGGGATCCTGAATTAGAGGCCAGGATGGCAAGACCCTCCACCTCTGGGCAGAACGTTTCAGGGAGTGTGATGCCCAGGCCAGAAGAAAGACTACAACAGAAATCAGGGACCCCACTCCACAAAGCAGCAGGCTCCCAGCAGGGAACATGCATAAAAATCGGTGATCGTTTCCAGGTGAAGATTGGGTACAATGAAGAGCTCATTGCAGTGTTTAAGAGTCTGCCCAGCAGACGTTACGGTAATGAGTCTTCCATCTAGTTCTTCCAGATGTTTTTTCCTACGTCTAGAGTCTCTCTAAATCAACAGTTTCTCATAAATATGAAGAGAGCGCATTGGCACATTATATCCATCCAGTTGTTAAAACTTTTCAGTTTTATTTAGCTCACATTTCCTTTTATAATAGACGTTCCTTCAAGCAGCTGCCATGCTTGGGGGCTGCCACATGGCCACATGGAGAATGGCTGAATAGTTCCCCTGCCAGGTGCTTTGTATGCAGTGTAGCACTTGAGCCTAAAACAGTTTTTTGTGAGAAGTAGGTGTTATTTGCATCTTAAAGGCGATGGAGCTGGCTCAGCCAGGTGACGTGGCACGCTCAGGTTGGTTCTCCCAGAGAGCCAAAGCATTATCCTCATTTATATTTGCTGTTTGTCCTCTACGGGGATTTTGTACATCAGTAGGGGCTTTTCAGTCAACTGTTTTGAACTTAGCATTCATTCATTCATTTAACAAACCCTTACTGAATGTCCAAGTACAGCTCATACCAGCAGTCATCCACCTTATTGTGGGCAAACCAGGTACTTCTGTTTCATTTCAGATCCTGCCACCAAGACGTGGAACTTCAGCATGACCGACTACGGTGCCCTGAGTAAGTAGGCGTGTGGTCACCCCCTCATGCAGGGGGACGCTGGTATTGAAAAGCTCCTCGAGTAGCAGATACAGTCTAGCTTGTGGTTCAGATGGCTTTGGGGACGCCATCCCAGTGCTCTCCTTCCTTCTCCCCATGGCCAGCCTAATGAGGCAGGTCCTTGGGAGGAGAGCACCGGTCATATTAACAAAAGCTAGCACTTACAGAACCTGCTACATGCTAGGCTGTTCTAAGCCCCTTATCTATGCTAACTCTTTCATTCCTTATAACACCCATTTTACAGATGGGAAAACTGGGGTCCAGAGAGGCTCTGTAAGTAACATAGGGTCACACAGCCAATCGGTTGTACAACTGGGGTTCAAACCCAAGCCACTGACTTCAGAGTATATATTCCCACTGGACTGCAGGCTCCAGCCATGCCAGGAAGCTGTGCTGGCCCTGCTCCCAGGAACGGTAACAGTTCAGCAGACAACACAAACCCGAGAGTGCAAAGAGCGGGTGTTGCCCAGGCTGGCTCCAGCCTGTGTCATGTCTGGTGGTGGTCAGGGCCCCTGGGTGTGCACCACTCTGTCTTCTGAGATTTTGTTGACTGTCCTACACCAAGGTTTTTGTCACCTTGTCCTAGTGCCTGAAGCCTGCACCTCTGTTAGAGTCAGCCCTGAGTGTCCCCATCTCCCGCTCTACTCTTCCCTCCCAGCAGCCATTTCTATGCCCTCTCTGTCCCCACCCGGTTCAAAAAGGGAAAAGCGGAGGATGCATGGTGAGGTTACTCCTCCACAGATTTGGGGCACGAGGTGGAATTCTCTGACATCACCAGTACAGTTTCTGGGGGTAACGGGACAGCTCCCTGCAGAACTTCCTGTTTCTCTCCTTGTCCTCTACCTTTTGAAATGTTTGACACTAGGTTTGGGGGAGCTCGCTTCTCCCATTATTTTAATCCATTTATTAGGTGTTGGGGGGAGGAGAGCCAGTGCTCTGGGTTAACATTGTAGGTCTTGATACCTGGTGTCGTGTTATTGCTCATGTTAAACCAGTGATTTCCACTGTTACGAAGTTTTTTTCATGTCATGTCAATTTTATTTTATTTTTTTGCTTTTCTTATACTTTTATATATGTATACAAAAGTAACCTACAGAGACTGTTTAAAAGTCTCTGTTTTGTTTGTTTTGCCCTCTTTTTACTCCTGTCCTCTGACCACAATGCATGGTGACTCAGATGACTAATGCTTTTGCACATTCATGTAGGTTTTCTGTGCAGTATGGTTGTTTTTGGTAATGCTCCACGTATTTTTTTTAACAGTTCATTGGGCACAAGATTCTGTCTATAGCTTTCAGGTGAATTTTGCTGATTAGGAATTGTTGAGCTCCCATGTATCCTTCTCAATGTTTTGGGTACTCAGTCTGCTCTCTACCAAGATATACCTGGAACACTCTCCCAACAACCGTGGATTTGTGCCTTAACCCTTGTTTCTTAATTTTCGGATAGTTGATGATTGCTGTGTCATCTTAGTACATGTTACTTTTTATTAATGCAACATATGAAGACTTTCAGTCTTTCTGTTATTTGTTTGGGTCCACCTCTGAATTTTGCCTTTTTAACCGTACCACACACTCACTGGAGGTCATGTGGAAAGTATGTCAATGTGCAAAGAAGAGAAACCAGCCATCCTCCCCCACCCCCGTCTGTCCCCACCCCTGTCTGTCCCCACTCACTTAACCGCTGTCAGCATTTTAGTTTTGTTCCTTCCAGCCGTTTTTTCCTATGCATTAACATACACAGTGTTTTCTATATGTAATGTAATCTGTATCTTGCCTTTTTCACTTAATGTTCCTGCATAAAGCACTTTTATTTTAATGGCACACGTTAAACAGTTAATTCTGGGTGATGAAAATGTGCGTGTCCATTATTGAACCACTTTGACCTCCAAAAAAATGATTTCGTACTTAATAGCGTCTTTTGTCCTTTCCAAAATTTCTTCCAAAAACCAAACAAACTAATGGCTATATAACATTCTCCATTTTAAGAATGTGTGATAGGGACTTCCCTGGTGGTCCAGTGGTTAAGACTCCGCCTTGCAATGCAGGGGGCACGGGTTGGATCCCTGGTCAGGGAACTAAGATCCCACATGCTGCACGGTACAACCAAGGAAAAAAAAAAAAAAAAAAGAATGTGTCATATACTGGGTAAATCATTTTCTTTTTGTTTAATATGAATTTGCTCCTTGTTTTCCCAGTATCAAAGCTGTAAGGAACACCTTGGTCTATAAATTTGTGTTTTTTCAACTTGTGTTAGTTGAGATAGATTCCTAGAAGTTGAATCATTATGCTCACTTTTTAGGGCTCCTGCTGTATATTGCCAAATTATTTTCCAAAACGTTTTATTCCTATCTGATATCTATTTTTCTAATCCTGCAAGTTCGATAAGTTAAAAATGGCTTTTTATTACTCTGATTGTTTGCGGAGTTGCACGTTTCTCCAAATGTCTATTAGTCATTTTCCCCCTTTTGAATTGGTTGCCTAACTTCTTATCTTATATGGTCTTAGTATTGTTTTTTGAAGTATGAGCTCTGTTCATATTTCTTGCAAATATCTTTATTCACTAGTTTTGCCTTTCATTTCAGTTTGTGTTTTTTGACAGTTTAGTTCTATGTCGTCAAATCTATTAATCTATAAAATGCCTCAGTAATAGAGAAGATAAGGGTCAACACTGTACATCTGTGGCCTGATGATCCTGTGTCTCCTTCCTTGTCCTCCCAGCGGTGGACAGAACAGTGACCTGGGAACAGGGTTAAGGGGGTGATTTCTGGTGTGTTGACTTCCTTCGGTGGCTTCTCTGACATGGCCACAGAAATTATCTGATAAGTTTACTCATCCTGGTGAGATCCCTGTCCCCCCCCTGCTCATTTCTGAATTCTAAGTTTTTTTAAACTGGGAAACCTACGGAATAGAAGAGTTACATTCAGGAAATCCTGAAATACCTGAAGCCCCAATTAAAGCACACCTGCACACCTTCCGCATCTGCCTGCGCTTTTTCTCTCCCGCCTGCCCAGCGAACTTCCTCCTCACCCTGCGCCTGCCCTCCTCCTGTTCCTGCCGTAGCATTCCAGGGCCACCTAAAAGTCGCTCGGGTTGTCACCTCTGTCCTTTTCTTCTTCGGCAGTGAAAGCAGCCCAGCACCTCCAGGCTGTCACCCTGCAGCCTTTGGAAGGGGCCGAGGGCCACGTGGAGTCACCCTCTACCAGCAGCAGCAGCAGAATCGCAGCCCAGACCTGCCTTCCTGTAGCTCCCTCCCTTGCCTTTGTCAAAGGGCAGTGCATACTCATCTCCCGGGCCCGCTTTGAGGCAGACATCAGCTATTCAGAAGACCTGATTGCGCTGTTTAAACAGATGGATTCCAGAAAATACGGCAAGTAGCTGGCCTCCACCTGATTTCCAGGATGCAGAGTGGCCTGTGACCTCAGACTAGACGGTTTTCCTCTCTTTAAATGCTCAGAGATAACTTTCTTGGTAGAGCCTTTCTAACTTTCTCCTCTTCCTGTAGAAAGATGCTCCCTAAATTGTTCCAGATTGTTGAACACATAGTGGGGCCTGCTCTGTCTTTAAAGGCCTCGCAAAGAGAAGACTCCTTCCCCAGTCACCTGGGCAGTGTCTTCTTGGTAGAAGCAGATCAGTTCCTGCTTCAGCCACTTAAACCCATTTAGTTTTCTTTTGTCCTTAGTAGAGCTTGAAAAATAGGCGTTTGCCATAAAAATAAATGCCTCTGGGTAGACTAAGGCGTTTTCAAACTTGAACGTGCCTCCGAGCCACCTGGAGGGGTGGGTAAATCAGATTGCCGGCCCCCACGCCCAGAATAAAAGCCGTGCCTGGTGCCCACCCAGAGCTGCTGATTTAATCGGCTTGAGGTGGGGCCTGGGCATTGGCATTTAAAAAATCTTCAGGTGAGACTGATCATCAGCCAGGATTGAAAACCACCAGCGAAAGCAGAGCAGTTTTGCTTTATTTTTTGTGAGGTTCTTCAAAAGCTGCCGCATCAGCATAGAGAGCAGAAGAATTCTGAGCACCTGGGTTTCATTCTTAGCTTGGGCCGTGTTGTTTTACAACAGTGTGGCTTTTATGGATTTGTATTCCCATTCTTGAAATGGTTTTAGTTTTCCCTAGGCAAGTAGGAAGCAGACCTTTAAAACCTCCTGCCTTTGAGACAGTACGTGCAGGCGGCACATGGAGGAAGCCTCTGTGGAATGACTTGCCCAGTGAGCTTTCTTCAAGGTCGGGGTTCCTTCAGGAGCGGGTGATGCTGGCTGTTGGTTGCATTTTTATCCCTTAGATGGAGAGAGTTTTGACTGGTGAGAGCAGGCTGGTGAGTAGGGTTTAGGCACAGTGTGCAGGGCCCAGCCTCAGTCCAGAGAGCATCACCTCCCCTGGCCCCTCAGGTGTTCGGCTTCCGCCTGGGGTGGCCCTCAAAAGGCAAGTACCGATGACCTGTGTCTTCTGACCTGCGGCCTTTGAAATCACACTCCTGACATGCTCTGCTGTTTGGGGAGGAATGAGAACAGGGAAAATATTCACACGCAACCCTGCCCAGGCCCCTAGACGTAAAAACACCATCATTGGATTTTTTTCTTTTTTTTTTTTTTTTTTCCATAGCACTTATTCACAGACTTTCCCATTTGCTGCCCTGCCACTGTCAGGATCAAGCTATTGTCAGAAAGGGTCTCCTGCACTATTCCCACATCAAGAGTAGTCGGTGTGCTTTTGGTCTTTCTGTCAGATTACACCTGGGCCACCTTGCTTCTTTCCTGAAGTGGACTCAAAGTATCCATGATGCCTTTTGCCTAACTGCCTTGCTTCTTCAATGACCAGACAGAGAAGAATTCATTTTTGCTGCCCAGAAAGCACTTACTGAGTTGAAGCTTGCTTGATTTTCTCAGAAGGTCGATTGGTAGGAAAACCTAAGTAATTAGTCAATGTTGGGTACCCAGATGCTCACCCTTCTTAGTTAATATTATGTGTAGTTTATGCTACACCGTATTAACAGGAGATGGAAGAATAATAATAATTTATCATTGTTTACCTTTTTTTTGAGTGCGTTGTTTGCCAGAAACTCTTTCATAAGCATTTTACATTTAAATTTTATGTAAAGCTCACAAGAGCCCTGTGAGGCAGCGGCTATAGGATGCTCCTTTTTCACATGTGGAACTGAGGCACAGGGAAGTTGCATAACTTGCCCAAAGTCACACATCCAGGAAGCAGCAGACCTGGGATTTGAACATAGACCGTTTGACCACACTGACCACATGTAGCTTGTTTTCCATGTACAACATGGAGCTAATAATGGTGCCCAGCTTACAGCGTATTGAGGAACTGATGAGATGGTGCATGTGAGTCTCTTGGCACTGTGCCTGGCTTAAGGTAAGCAGTGAATAAGTGCAAGCTACAATATTATCCCCACCTTGGAGATGCAGAGTGCTTTTGCCGTCCCCAGTCCCGTGTCCCCATAGCTCCCTTTATCACCACGCTTACAGCCCAGTGCTATCTTCACGTCTGCTTGTCTTTCCTCCCCGAATTTTGTGAAAGTCTCGATTACTGGTGCTCTCGATCTCTGTGTCCTCAGTGCCCAGCACAGGATCAGCACATCACCCGAGGTTCCTGGGGGTTTGTGAAAGCAGGGAATGAATGAGTAGGTGTGGTGACATTGCAGGAGGGCAGGGTGTCACGTTTGCCTGTTTGTTTCTTGTCATTGCAGATGTCAAGACCAGGAAGTGGAACTTTCTCCTGGAAGAGTACAGTAAACTAAGTGAGCTGACCACCTTGCTTGCTTTATATCATGCTGTTGTTAAGCCTTAATTACGTGCCTTAAATTTAATGTATTTTGAAAGAATCACCTCCTTCCTCCCCTCCACCGTGGTAACTTCGCATGCTTGTGTACAGGACTAGTAAAGGTGAAGTTGGTCTCGGGCAGCCATGTCCCTGTGCTCTGGGACGGCGGCTTTACAGCAGCCCAAGCAGATGCAGGGTCTCATCTTCCATCAGGGTGAGGCGCTACTAGTCAAATTCTTGAGGCCTGTGAAACCTCACACCCGTCATAGAAGTATGAGAAGTGAGGGTTTGTGGATTTGGGGAATCAGAGGCAAGCTAGGATCGCTGAGCTTAGATGGAAGCTACTTTGGATTCCCTCTAAGAACAGGCTCTCTCAGCTTACTTCTAGAACCAGATGGTCTGTGGAAGCTGGAGGGCCATAGTGGTTACAGGCTTCATCATGGGCTGAGCTCTGCCAGAGGCAGAAGCCAAGGCCAGGGCGCATCAGCGTTTAATAAGCGCTTTGGAGTCTCACCAAGGGAAGGGCCATGTGTACAGATGTAACTACAAGAAGGGGAAGCCAGTTTGGGCTTATCATTTTTCTTCTCTGCTCTGCTTGGGTGGGGCAGTGAATGAATTCCAGTATGCCAGAGAAAGGGGGTGGGGTGTGGTCATAGCTCAGCCTGTCCTGGAATACCAGTCTGTTACCCATCTTCCAGACCATCGATATTCTGCAGTGGGTGTGCAGCCGGCACAATGGAGGTTCCTCCTGCCTGACCCCCTGAGAACTTTCTGGTACCAGGGTTCGGCCAGGAGAGACATGCTCCAGCTCAGTGGGGCTGGGAGTGGGGATCCACATCATTGGCTGTCTTGCCCACCAGGCTAGGGCTTTAAGGAAGAGGGTCTCTTCCCTCTGTCTCCTCCTTATGTGACTTGCTATGCAGCGTCAGGTAGGTAATTCAATATTCTGGGTCCATGTGTCCCTTCAGTAAAAAATGGGGTGTTTAATCCATATTTGCCCTACTGACAGAAAGTAAATATAAGGGAAGAGCTTTTGATTCCTTGAGGAAAGACTTGCTGCAAACTTGAGGTTAAGTTTGAATACGATGAGTTATTTAGTGTCGGCAACCACTAGCTGGAGCAGGAGGGATGGCTGACGTTGACCTGAGACCCCTTGGGTCTGCTATTTGGAACTCGTGTCTTAGAGCAGATTATTTGGCCAAAGCTGAATTTTTGATGAACGGTAGGAGTGAGTTTGTCCCTCTCACCCCTTTGTCTTTCAACCACAGAAAGACATATAAATATGTGAGCTATAAAGGCTTTGACTTTTATGGAGCAACAAAAAGCAGGATATTTACAGCACTAGCAGATGAATGTAATGTTGAAAAACCATGACTTGCAACTTACATAGCGTTCTATAATGGTTCCAAGTCTTGAGGGCCATAGATTCCTTGAAACCTCTGCTGAAAACAATGGATTCTTCACCCAGAAAAATGCACATAACAGCCCCACGTAAGATTTTGCCTTTGATATTAATAATGCCATGGGTGTAGAGTTAAGAATTCTAGAGTCAAGCGTTCATAGAATATAAGACTGATTCTCCCCATTTCATAGATTGGGGAAAATTTGGACCCAGAGAAGGAAAACAGTTGTTTTCCTTGTCGGGAGCCTTGTTAGGGTCACAATGAAGTCTGACTAAAATTGCAATTTTGAGTTTGTGATGTGACCCAGCAGGAAACTTAGAAGCCCAGGTCTGTGAACTAAGAAGCCGAGGTGAAGAGGTGCTGCAGAACACTGCAGTTCCCAGTTTAGTTCCAATTCCACTGTTAACAGATTGTGAACCTGGGGAATTTGCACCTCTCTCCTCACCCCTAGGTCTCGTATGTGAAATCAGATTATTGACCTGAGCTAGTGACCATGTGCGTATGAAACTAATTAAGAAATGACGGTGGGAACTGAGTGTGTGAGTGCTCACTGCTAACGTGGTGACTACAGTCTCCAGGTCAGGCCAGTCGCAGAGCGATCCTCTTCCCTCTTTTCTAAGTGACTTGCTTCCTCGTGCCCACAGTGAAGTTGCAATAAAGCCTTCTGTTTTCCCCCCACCTGTCAACAGTCCAGAAGGGTTCTTCGTCCCCTCGATGATCTTGTCAGCTGCTATTTGAAAACGTTAACATCTCTCTGTTGTGTGGCCCGGTAGCGTTCTGCCAGAGAGCTATTTTACAGAAACACTTCTCTATGACTCATGAAGCCAGACTGCACATTCCTGTCGTCTTCCAGCACAGGGAAGGGATAGCAGTGAGTCGCTGACAGTGAATAGAGGCTGTCTCAGAAACACTCAGTTGACTGAACCAGCAGCAGAGGATTTGGGGAGATAGTAGTCGGTAGGAAACAGAGTAGAAAGTGGTTTTTGTTCCTCTTGAGTGGCTGAAAGGACATAATGCTTACAAAGCACTGTTTCACAGCAGCCGGATCCTTAGCCCTTTCTTAGCTTTCATCAGGTATTTGATTGCTGAAGATCACTAGAATTAAAATGAAAATGGGTTTTGAAAGCACGTGGAGTGCTTAGTCTCTTGAAGTGTGCAGAAATCAGCACGCTCAGACTTAATTTGGAAGCACGCAGTGTATTTCTGCATCAGTATGGGCACTCTTTTGTATTAAGCCATCAACCTTACCTGATTTCTTATCATGGTGATTCTATTCATGCAAACTGTTTCCAGAAATAACTGATACCTATATTTAGGGAAAGGGAGAGATGGATTTGAATATACTGAAAAGGCAAGGCAATTTAAGGTGGCGGTAGACGGCTCAGCCCTCCATATTCACATCAGTATTTGCGATTGCCAATTGACGGCTGTGGCAGAAGACTTTTCGAATACCTTGTGACCATATGGAGCAGAGAACTGACAACCTTAGAATTTCAAGTAATGTCGGGTAGAAGTGAAATAGACGCAAGTTCTCTATTTGATTCCTTCTCCTGGATTCCTGGAGAACTCAGCCCCTTGGTGGGTTACTATGACTATCTCAGGGTGCCCCGAAAAGGTAAAAGGTAGAGAGCAGTCAAGGATCTGTAAACAATGGTCACTCTCCTGACTCTGCTCGTGAGATTTTTCAAAGGAAATGTTGAAAGGGAAGAACATCTTGAAAGCTACAACTGTAGGACAGCAGGCTGTGATTAGAAGTTTAATGATAATTCTACTACCAGGGATTTCTAGGTCTATCCTCTTTTCTCTAACTTTTTAATTTTTAACTTGTCTTCTCCTGCCGTCCCCCGCCCCCCAGAATTATGTTTTATTTATATCTCTGGGTTTTTTCTTTTTCTGTTTCTCTATTGAATAAAGGGCTTTTTTTTTTCCTCTTAATTTTAAAACCAGGTGAAGCTAAATTCCTTCAAAGAGAAAAATCAGTGAAATTGATTTTCTTTTATTTCCATGTAGATCCAAGGTCATATATTTTTCCCACCTGGGTTAAAGACTCTGACTAGAAGAGATTTCCCCATCCATTATATTGGGGTCTGGAACCAGCACACATGGAAGGAAAGTAAAGACCCCTAAATATAAGCTTTAATTGAAAGAGAGTCATGGTCACCCTGAGTAATAGTTTAGACTCTACGCTTAGCGGGGGTTGGTAAACTTTTTTTGTAAAGGGCCAGATAGTAAACATTTTAGGCTTTGTGGGCCATGCGGTCTCTGTCCCAGCGACTCAGGTCCACTGTTACGGCATGAAAGCAGGAAACGACAGTCCATAAACAAATAGGCACCACTGTGTTCCAGTGAGACTTTATTTACCAGAACAGGTAATAGACTGTTTTTCCCACAGACCTTAGCTTGCCAATACCTGTAAAACTCACCTCTCTCAGGAGGAGCTGCTTATTCTCTTATGGAAAAGGTCAAAAGTGTGCAGGGCCATGTGCATTGTTGTCAGTTGGTGGCCTTTGCCTGGACTCTGCCCTTTGTTGTTGTTTGTAAATAGCACTACTGTCCTACTGATCTTTCTTGGAAATACCTAACAGCTTCTCTGCATAGACCACAGTGCTTCCTTGCCTGGTGACAGCATATAGCTTAAAGTTCTCCATCTTCTCAAACATTGAAACCAAAATAAAACATAAGGAGAATGGAAACAAGACAAGATTTATTCATTTTAGGCCTTGCTTTTCCTGGGCTGATTTTTGAAGAATATGGGTCCTTATTTATTGAATGGGAATACTAAGATAATTTTTTAAATGACTTGAGGTTAAAAATAGATAGGTCGCAAGAACACGTTAGTTCTTTCCGGTGTTTGTGTAGTGTAGTGAAGATCAATTTTGCATTACTGAGTGCCCTCTTGTTTGCAGACACTAGAAATAGAGAGGGAAAACTGGTTCTCTGCCATGCATCTGTCTGCACCCAGTTTTCTCTCCAGTTACTTTCCGGAGAAGATGGCATGCAGCAGAATTCCAGCCATTGAACTTTGTATCTCAAAGCCCCTTGTTTTTCCCCCAGAAATCTTGGACATTAACACTCCAATTCACACACCTCTGTTCTCCTTTCTAGTGGAAAGGGTGCGCTGCCTTCCACAAGTTCAGCTGGATCCTCTGCCCAAGACCCTCACCCTGGCTTTCGCCGCTCAGCTCCAGAAGACGTCTCTGTGTCCCGTGGCAGACATCCCCGAGGCAGACCTGTCCAAAGTGGATTCCAAGCTGGTGTCGAGCCTGCTGCCCTTTCAGAGAGCTGGAGTCAAGTAGGTTCTTCATCTGTCTTCCTCTTGCTCTCTCCTGCTCAGATTTATATCGCTCACCACGGACTGGCTTCAGATGCTCCCTCTTGCACGATGCTCCTCTTTCACAGCCGTCTAGAGGCATCTGGGTATTAGCATTAAACAGCCCAGGTGCACTGTCACCAAAGCCTGATTGTACCCACTGATTTCAAATTCCATAAGTTAATTAGGACTCTGTATTGCAAGTGTACAGAAGCCCAACTCAAAGTAGTGTAAGAAAAGAGATTTCTCATTGCATGTGATAGAAAGCCCAGGGTCTCTAAAGAGCTCATCAGGACTCTGTACCCCTCTCAGCTCTGCTTTCTTCTTAGTTTGCTTTGTTCTCAGCCAGGTGCTCCTCAAGTGTGGCAGCGGGGGCAGCCAGGGGCTTCCGTTTTGCACCCATCGGTTCTGCAGCCCAGCGGAAGCAACTCTTTTCTAGTGGGTCCCACACCGAAATATCTGAAATTTGGTGCTGACGCTTGAACTGGTCAGTCACTGTGTTCTGGGGGGCTCGGAGGTCTTACTGGTAAGACCAGGTGACAGGCCCATCCCTGGAGCGAAAGCGTAGGGGCTGCCTCACCCCAATTACTTGGACTGAGAGTGTAAGGTGGTGGTTTTCCAAAGGAAAGTGCTCTTATTATATTGACGGAAAGAAAAAAAGATAAGCCCGTGTCCTGACCTGTCCCTTTTTCTGCAGTTTCTTAGGAGAAACAAAATGACAGGTTTGCCCCAAGTAGAAAGATGGGAGGTGGAGGAGAGGGCAGAGGCTCCATGTAGAAATAATAAGAGCTAGATCTGATGTCAGGTCGTGTAGTTGGAGATAGAGCCCCATGCAAAGGAAGGACCTACATTGTCAATGGACATGGCCCACAAAGGCAGCCTGCCCGCGTGCAGCCCACCTGTGGTGGTTTGGTTAAAGCTTGGCTGCTGTCTCTGTAGGATTTTGTTCTCCGGGTGCAGTTTGGGCACAGTGGGACCTCACTGCATCCCCACGGTCCCAGCTCTGCCCACACCCTTTTCTTCCTTTGCCTTCCAGCTGCCACCTCTCTTAGATAACGCACTTTGCCGTTTCTTTCATCTGTTGAGATGTCCTTTGGGCCTTGTTTTACCCAGGCTCAAGGTGGGCTTTCCCTTTCATCTTTCTTCCTCCGTCTCCTTCATTAATGCTGAGAGAGGTTGCCCACCCCCAGCTCCTGGGCAGCCCCCATCTTCAGAATCCAGGTTCTTCATGGCTCCCCTGGAGATCCCTGGGCACATGCGGTGCACACTGAGAGGCGGTGGGTGCGAGGCACCCCAGGGTATGTACATCAGAGCCAGAGCACAGCCAGCTGTTTCTATCTTTTTCTCTATGGCTCTGAAACTGCTAATGGTACTTGCAGCCTTTCTTCAAAACTTTGCATTAATTCCAGATTTTAACTTTCATTCCCTGAAGTGGAGGAGTTTGGTATTAAGGGAAGGGCTGTCAATTCCATGTTTTTGTTTTGTTTTTTACGTAAGTACTACAACTGGAAACTCATTTAAATGTACGGAGCAAAATCTCTTAGATATCAGCCTGCTCTAATATCTAAACGGTTCCTTTTAATAGAGGAGTGAGTTGAGACCAAGGAGGACAGTCCTCTGTCTAAAGCTGCTTAGTTTCCAAAAGTGGAATTGGGGCTGAAATCCTATCTTCTGATGATGAGTGCAGCGTTTTTTGTGTAAAACCAAACTACGGCATTCAGCTGTGCGATTGTCTCTCTATTATCCAGGCGACATCTTTGTTCTCAGTTGTGATCACTTTGTTCCTTAGTTGGACTACCTCGAGGCAGAGTAAAAGGAAAGGCTATGAAATTCAAGGGTCTGTTCTGCTTTGGGAATGACCAGGTGGATGAAGCCGTGCAGACATTGTAAATGGTTGCGACGCCTCAGAGGCTGAAACAAAAGGCCCTCCCTGGTTTGTTGCATAGGTGCCCCTGGCCATCCTGACCACCAGTTTTGTAAATCAGAAAGTAATGTAAAAAAATAAGTCTTTTACAACTTGTCTGTCTGCATGCGTCTGTCTGAGATGATCCCGGAAATGGTCTGGAAGATTTCACCAAGGTCGGCATGACAAGGGGAGGGTGGGCTCCCTCCGCCCCCATTGCAGGAGTCTGGTGGCCACGGTCAAGGGGGAGGGGAGGGGGCACCACCTCTCACCGGGTGGGCCGTGTGGCAGCTCGGAGGACAGAGAAGTGCCAGGACCACGACAGGACGCTCGTTGTCTGCTGAGCCTGGGTGTCCTGGGCTCACGCCCCCCGCAGACCCGCTGCTCGCTTTCCCACCTTCGTTGGGCACTGGCTTCTGAAGGGCGGAAACGCTGTTTCCAGGCAATTCAGAAAGGCCGTGTGCAGCCCGGAATTCTTGTGGGCCATAGCAGCTGCTGGTCAGAAGAGGGGCCGTTCTCTGTCTTTTCTGGGTGAGAAGGAAAGGAGAAGAGCTAGTCGACTGGCTTATCCTCAGGTTCCTGAGCCAATGATCAGTTCTTCGGGAATTCCGATGAAAGAGGAGTGGCGTTTGCAGCAGGCCAGGCATCTGGCACTGGGGACCCTTTTAGCTTTTCTCTGATTCATATGCCAGTCGAGCAAGTCACCATCACTGTTTGTGTCTTGGTTATTTTTCTCCTTTGGGGGAATAATTGTTATAAGGGAAGCACTTCCCCAGCACTTACGACGGCACCAAGCGCTGTTTTAAGTGCTTTAAACATCACGAGCCCCCGTAACGCTCTCTGGGGTAGGCCTCGTCGTTATTCCACGTTACAGCGGAGGCACAAGGAGGTCAGATAACTTGCGTAAAGGCACACGGCTCCCAGGTGGTGGAATTGGGATTCCAACCCAGGCCAGTCGGGCTCCGAAGGAGTAGAATAATAATTCCATGCTTTATTCACAAACTGTAAGCAAGGGCTGCTGCCCTGGAGGGCTTGGGGACCCTGGAGGCTGCTAGGTAATGAGACACGTGGCTGAGGTCGGTGCTGCTCTTAGACAAACACTCTTGCTCCATCATTCTCTCGGGCCATCCTCCTTTTCTCCAACGTTTTCTGTCTTTGCCAGCTTTATGGGTACAGAGTCCTCTCTGATCTTGAGAAAGCCATTTTTCCACCCCACCGTCTCTTCCTTCTTCCCTTACCGGCAGATCCCTCATGTGATAAGCGTGCCCCTCCCAGCCCCTCGTTAGGGACTGTTTCCCACGCTCTTCCTTTATATCCCCTGGGCCTCGCCTGCGCTGGGCAGAGGGTGACTCCTCTTACTGGAAACTCCCTCCCTCGGCTTCCACGACCTAATTGTCTTCTAGAGCTTCTCCCTCCCCTTCGACTACATTTCACGATGTCCCTGTTTGTAGTCTTTCCTTGATTATTATTACTCTGCCCTGTGTTTGGCCCCTGGCGTCCCTCTCGGCGGAGCAGGTCTCTTGCGAGCCAGTAGCCCACACCGAGCAGCCGTGTGGCTTCACGCGGCGGTTCGATGGCGGGTTAACCGATGCCCTGGGAAGCGCGCCGTGCTCTGTCCTGACCGTGTCCGCTTTCAGTTTTGCCATAGCGAAAAGAGGCCGCCTGCTGCTTGCTGATGACATGGGCCTGGGGAAGACCATCCAAGCCATCTGCATAGCCGCCTATTACCGGAAGGAGTGGCCGCTCCTGGTGGTGGTACCGTCCTCTGTGCGCTTCACCTGGGAGCAGGTCAGCTCTCCTGGTGCCGTGATTTTAACGAGGAAGCCTTTCCTCAGTGTCAGAGTCATCAAATGACAGTTTGGGGACAGGACCTGGGGAGCTCGAAAGATCTGTCTCAGCTGGAGGAGGAAGGGAGCCTGCTGAGGCCAGGCTCCTGGGTTTCTGAGTTAGAATCAGGCTAGGCCTTTAGGGAGGAAGGGCAAGGCCTTACCAAGCTCAGACTTGCTTCCGTCTGTCAGTAGACGCTTCCTGAGCACCTCCGGTGCCCCTGCAAAGAACACCTTTCACCTCTACCCCACTTAAGTTTCAAAATAGTTTTACTTCCTTTATTTCCCTTAATCCTTAAACAGCTGTGTTCAGCAGACACAAGATATTAACCCCACTGACAGATGAGAAAACTGCCTCTCCAAGAGGTTAAGTACCGTGCTTGCTGCTAGCGAGGAACGTTCCAGGGCCTTGAGGTCGCACCTCCTGTCGTTGGGCTCAGGGCCCACACCGGTAGCGGGTGGTGTGGGCAGGATGTTCACAGTCTACCGGGCACCTTTATGGCAGAAAAACCTGACATGACCATTGTATTATCACTCAGCTGTGAGCTTTGTCTCCCATAAATCCAGGGATCAGAGTGGTCCCATGAAATGAATGAAACTCTACGTAAGCAAACGTGGTGAGGATGGAAGACGTGGTTCATCGTCCGTAGCTCTTCCCAGCTTCGTGCTGCTCGAGGTGGCTGTCGGCTTCCTCATGCCAAGGCTGTTACTAAGCCCCCGTGAGCTGCTCCTGGGAAAGAGGCAGCTCTGCCTGCAGCCACGGGGCCTGACGCCCAGACATGCCCTTCCAACCCAGGAGAAAGCAAAACTTAAAAAAAGTGCATATCGAAACAGTACCTCACTCACTTCTTGTGCTCGTGATCTGAACTGTGCCAGAGCCTCTAGGAACTAACAGTTCAACACACGTCAGATTCCCACAGCACCCTCGGAAATTCTAGGGAAGATTAGATGGTCAGCGGCTTATAACCAGGACAGAGCCTGGCCTCGCGCTCCCGGAATCAGAATGGTGTCAGCCCAGGCTCACTGGGAGCACCCAGACCCCCGGCCAATGACAGAGGCACCTGGTGGCCGTCCACTGGCTCCAGGTACTGGCTTTGTCTAGAGATGGCAAGATTTCTGGGGAAAGGAGGTGCCTTTGTAGAAAGCACTGAACATTTTCATCATCATCAGTGCCTTTGGCGTACCAGGCTCTGCTAAAAGTTCCTTTATAAAATTCCTCTTTAAAAGAGTTGCATTCTTTCCTCGCAGAAACTTGTCTTCTTTTTTTTTTTTTTTTTTTTTTTTTTTTTTTTTTTTTTTTTTTTTTTTGGCGGTACGCGGGCCTCTCACTGTTGTGGCCTCTCCCGTTGCGGAGCACAGGCTCCGGACGCGCAGGCTCAGCGACCATGGCTCACGGGCCCAGCCGTTCCGCGGCATGTGGGATCTTCCCGGACCGGGGCACGAACCCGCGTCCCCCGCATCGGTAGGCGAACTCTCAACTGCTGCGCCACCAGGGAAGCCCAGAAACTTGTCTTCTTGCTAGAGGTCACAGAAGTGAAATCCACAGACACCCCAAAGCGACTGCTCACAAGGGCTTGCTTACCGAGGAGAGAAGTGTCCCGTTAGTGGAAAGTGAAGGGGTGTGGGTGGGTGGGAGGAACAGGGAGGCGACGGTTGTTCGTGGGGACAAGGTTATGCTGAATGCAGGAGGGCGGGAAGGGGAAGAGACCGAGTGTGTCTTCAGCGGGCGTTAACGTTGGTCCGCGTGGAGAGAGGCGGTGAGTGGGTTAGCGGGGCCGCAGCTGGCACCTGCCAGGCTGAATCACCACTTGGGTTTTGTTCTCTCCTGTCACCCCCAGGCCTTTCGTCAGTGGCTGCCGTCTCTGAGCCCAGACCACATCAACGTCGTGGTGACTGGGAAGGACCGCCTGACAGCTGGCTTGGTCAACATTGTCAGTTTCGATCTTCTGAGCAAGTTAGAAAAGCAGCTGAAACCCCCTTTTAGAGTTGTCATCATTGTAAGTGACTTGGCAGGGTGTTTAAGTACTTTATCTCTGGGGAACTTTCTGCTCGAAAGCTCCAAGAGCGTCCATATCTGTAATCTCATGGGGCCCCACTAGGTGTCTAGGAGAGTAGAAATCACTGGCTTTGTTTTGTAGGGAAGTGATCTTTCATTTCTCTCAAATAGCGCTTCTCGACCCTGGCTACATATTAGGATCTTCTGGGGCAGGGGCGGGCGCTTTTTGAAAAATTGTGGTTTACTAGGTCTGTGCTGGGGCTCTCTAGCCCACCTCTCCCCACGGGGGGTCACGTTGGAGGCGAGCACGTGAACCCCCAACAGCCCGGGGCTCCGGGAGCTACAGCCTGGACAGCATGGACCTGTGCCGCCATCTGGTGCCCTCTGTCGGCGTGACTCAGACGTGCAGTTCAAACAGTTAATAGATTTTCTTCCAGATGATATAAGGACGCTCCCTTCCTACCAAAGAAAAGCACTTTTTACCCTAGTTGTTTTTTTTTTAAAGGAGGCTTTAGAGTTTAGAGTCCTGCTCCCAGATGTGATGGTACATCTTTTAGCTGCCGCTTTCCTTCTTCTCCTTTCGTACTCCAGAAGGAAAGTCTAGAGATGCTGGCTTCCGGCCTCCTCTGTCAGTACCCAGTGTGTCTACATGGCTCACAAATACAGCCCTGAAAACGTGTGAGTCTCTCACATCCCCACTCCCGTCCAGCCAGCTACCACCCCTAGTCCAGGTGACAGACGTCCCGGGGCGAAGCCTGCGGTGGATGGTTTCCAGGGGAAGCTTATCCTCGCTTTTCCTCTTGGCAGAACAGGGAAACCCAGTGCCTCCGGGTAACACGAAAGGTTTTTTATTCAAACGCGTGACTTGAAAAAGCCAGTGGTGTTTTCCTCCTCTAAAAATAGGATTCTCTACCTACAGTGGCCTCCCAGATCTTGCTGCGCATCTTGTTTAGTGCACATCTCATCTAGAAGGAGCTAAAGAAAGGGCTTTTAGAAAACTCTTTGAGGACCTCTGAGTCACTCACGTCAACAAGACTGCAGTGGGGACTCTGCCTCGGGTTTCCCGGCAGCGGGCTGACTGCGAGGGCGGCGCCTTCGTCCATTGGCTCAGCTAGCCAGAGGTCGCAGGCAGCTCTGTGCCCTGCCCAGGGCTGTGTGCTGTGGGTGTGGAGGGAGCGGTCAGCCCCTGGTCTCCAGGGAGCTGCAGTCCAGTAAGACAGACCGACACACACGCAGATCGTTACAGTCCGTTCCAGGGCCTTCGGAGACGTGGGAGCCAGAGCCTGTGGGAGCTCAGGGAAAGCGGGGGAGAAGGCGTGGGCTGGGCCGCAGAGCCTTGAGCCAGCTCGGGGCACACACGGGTCTTCAGCACACGGCGTTAGTGCCGTGCAGGGGGGGGGGGGGGGGTGCAATCTTACAAGCCAGCAGAGCACCTTTCAGGAGTCTGTCCCGTGCCGCGTGTGAGGTGGGCAGGGCAGGGGAGTCGCCAGCCCCACTTTGCAAGTGGAAAACTGTCCCTGAGAGATGAAGCGACTTGCTCACAATGTCATAGAGAAGATGCCCCAGAGCCTGGTCCTTGCCCAGGCCCCCAGCTGTCTCCTTGAAGGAGAAAGCACTAAGAGAGGCAGCCTCGGTGCGACGCTGTACCAGGGTCAAGCTTGACGTGGGCTCTCTCTCCGTCTGCTCAGGATTTGGCCTTGTTCACTTACGTGACTGTTTCTTTTCAGGATGAATCTCACTTCCTCAAAAACATTAAGACCGCCCGCTGTCGTGCAGCTGTGCCCCTCCTCAAGGTGAGAGCTGCTGAGGACGGGCTCCGTGCCTGAGCCCACTCGGCACTGAGATCTGCTGTATTTTGCTCGGGCTGGACTGGTGTCCAGGGGGAGCAGGGGCCGCAAGTCCATGGCTGCAGGCTGTGGATGTGACTTAGCATTGACTCAGGGCATCTCTACTTAGGACTTTGGTACCAGATTCGTTTTTCTTCCTAACATCCTGCTGAGGAACTAGTGGTCAGTGCAGTCGTCTGTCTCTCAAAGATGAAGACCTGTTGAAGGACACAGGCCAGGTGGGAACTCACTCTGGACTGTCCTCGAGCTCCTCCTGGACAAGGCAGAGGGACAGCCTCCAGCAGCGGGTCCTCTAAACAGCCCAGGAGGAGCTGCCTGTCTTCCACGTGGCTTGCGGGGCAAAGCTCTCATGGTGCAGACTCAGAACCAGGCCGTGGGCATCAGCAAGACGCGCCACAAAGCGGAGGCCTGCTTTATAGATAAGATGATAGCCTTTTCTGGGGCTGCCCCAAGGCTGTTGTGTTAGCAGGAAGGTCAGCCGTCCACACCCTTTTCTGGGGTGGTCTAACATATGCTGACCCTTTGGCTGCCTGAGTCCAGGTTCAGAGCAGAAGGGGTGTGGGGGGGTGTGTGTCTGTGTGTGTGTGTGTCCAGCGCAGCTTTGAATCTTTATCCAAAGGCATTGTATTCTGACCTGCAGTATAAGCTCCGTGCTTGGTGTGGTACACACTGCAGTGTCTGTATTTTGTGTCCCAGCCCCTCCATCCCCAACAGAGGGAAGGCCCCCAACTTTCCTTCCATCTATTTGGGGTGAGCTTTCTCCTACTTCAGGGAAAAAAGTTGTACAATTAGAAAAGTAGTCTTTTCTCTTGTAACAAGGTAGAAATATCTCACAGGTGACTTTGGGGGAATCTCCTTTGGTTTGTATGAACTGAGCCAACGAAAGCGCATGTTATGTTCATCTTGGGCTCTTGGGTTGCACCTGATTTTAAAACTGCAGCTTTTATTGCTTAAAAGAAGCTTTAAGTTGTACCTAAGCTAGGGAAGACAAATATGCTAAATGTTGGTGAAACTTAATAGCATTTGAAAATTAATTTTTTCCAACTCCCCACAAAACACAGTTGAGTGCTCATTTCAAGTTGGTTTTGTGTTCGGAGTAACAGGTAATATGATAACATCTTCCAAAGCAGGATTATGTCATTCCCTCCAAACCTAAAGGTCCTTTGCTTAAAAGCCTTGATTCTCTGCCCAAATTACCTATAAATGTTTATAGGTTGAGAGCCATTTATGGACACACTTAAATGATTTTCCCAAAGTGGTGACCCTTCTTTTGGGGAATTTTCATATGTTTTCTTTTGAAAAATGTTAATAGACCCTGGTACTGTGGTTCCAATTTTACAGCCATAACTGAAATTAAATCTGTATACCCCTGATTGTTTAGACAAAAGAAACTGCACAGTAGATAGATGATATCATTAAAGATATAATAGGAAAGCTTCTTAGCAACTGTCTTGTTAATGCACTCATTGCCTGGTCAGGCAAGCTGGACTTAAATATTGGTTTCTGAAATATGTGCTTCTGAGTCAGACCTTTTAAAGCAGTGTCTACGTTTTTCAGATCTTGGGTATATTTCAGAGTGACACATTTAAAACAAAATTTTAACCGCTAACTAGTATGTATTACTCTGCATTGGCCGTAGAACTCGGATGAATTAATGTTTCAAAACAGGACCCGTGAATATAGCCTGTTCATGGGTGTCTCGAAGCCACTGTCATCCATGACATTGACTTCACGTGTGCTGGACTGTTGAGGAGGATGAGGCATCCTGTGTTATTCTGTTCATCAAACCTCCCACCTCTCTGCTATATTTCCGTCGAGACCAGAGTTCCTCAACCTTGGCACTGTTGACATTTGGGGCTGGATAATTCGTTGTTATCCACAGGGCTGTCCTGGGCATCGTAGGACATTTAGCTGCATCCTTGGCCTCTACTCACTGAATGCCACTGGCTCCTTCAGTTGTGACAACCAGGTCTTGCCAAGCGTCCCTGGGGAGGAGGGGGGAATTACCCCTCCCCATTTCTGTTGAGAACCACTGATCAGATACTCTAAGGAAATGAGTGAATCTAGGTATTTTGGGAATAAGAGGAGAGTTGGGAAGAAGGAAAATAATGCCTTTGAAGAGCCAAAGAAGGGCCGAATTTAATACTACTTGACTGTTCCTCTAACTTGTGCATCTCTTAGAACTATATTCTGATAATTGATATGTCAAAATATTTTCAGCAGATGTTCATGATGAGGTGATTAGGTTCTATCCTACTCTCTGTGAGATAGGCCACATCATGTGGGTTTCCTGAATGGAAACAGCAGCTGCATGCAGAGGACGTTTTGCTTAGGTTGTAAGAAACTAGTGGTGTTGTCCCATGGGAAATGTGACATCTTTCTTCCCCTACAGCACCGTTTTCCTGGGCTGCGAAGCGAGGTGGTTCTGTTTTCATCTGCAGTTGACCCTTGAGCAGCGGGGGTTTAACGTGCCTTTAGCTTATATTTAGCTGGCCCTCCATATCTGAGGTTCCTCCACATACTGAGATGCATCCGACCTCAGGCAGTATAGGACTGTAGTATTTACTATTGAAAACATCTGCCTAAGTGGACCTGTACAGTTCAAACCTGTGTTGTTCAAGGTTCAACTGTGTGAAAGTAGGCAAGACAGAAAGCTATAAAGAGCAAAACTGAAATCACCTTTAATCCCTCCAACGCAGAAAACCACTGTTAGCAGTTTGGTTGTTTTTCTAACATGTCAGCTGTAGGGCAAGATTTTTTTTTTTTTTTTTTTTTTTTTTTTTTTGCGGTACGCGGGCCTCTCACTGTTGTGGCCTCTCCCTCTGCGGAGCACAGGCTCCGGACGCGCAGGCTCAGCGGCCATGGCTCACGGGCCCAGCCGCTCCGCGGCATGTGGGATCCCCCCGGACCGGGGCACGAACCCGTGTCCCCTGCATCGGCAGGCGGACTCTCAACGACTTCGCCACCAGGGAAGCCCCCAAGATCATTTTTAATGGTTTGGGAGCGTTCTGTGGTATGGACGCATCCCATGATTTAACCCTTAGTGTTGGACACTGTTTAGCTATTATAAATAATTCTGCAAGTGAACATCATCCGTATGTTCATAGCTTGTATACTTTGTCCTCTTAGGACGAATTCTTCCACTCAGAATTTCTGGGTCGTAGTTTTACCTTTTGATAGTTGCCTCTGAAATCCAGTCTGGCCACGCATCACCACCTTCACTCCTGCTCAGGCCAAATCACATGGTCTTTTTCTCCACATGACTCCAGCCCTGAAGGGTATCTGACTTTTCCATTGTGAGCAGTGAGGTGTGTTTGAGTTTCCTTTAGTGTGTGTTTTTTTTTTTATAGTGCTTTTTATTGTTAAACCAGTTAGATTATTTCTTTTTTTTTTTTAACATCTTTATTGGGGTATAATTGCTTTACAATGGTGTGTTAGTTTCTGCTTTATAACAGTGAATCAGTCATACATAAACATATGTTCCCATATGTCTTCCCTCTTGCGTCTCCCTCCCTCCCACCCTCCCTATCCCACCCCTCCAGGCTGTCACAAAGCACCGAGCCAATATCCCTGTGCCATGCGGCTGCTTCCCACTAGCTATCTACCTTACTACGTTTGTTAGTGTGTATATGTCCATGACTCTCTCTCGCCCTGTCACAGCTCACCCAGATTATTTCTTTAGAAGAAAGGCCCTCAGAATCCCACCATCCTTCCCTGATAAACAGCTGTGTCTCTTTTTGTGGGAGTAGAGTCCTCTTGTGTCTGTTGGTTGGCTAGATCAGATGAGCATAGTGGTCTAAGGTGTCTGAGCTTTTTCTTTTCCTTCTTCATTGAAGTAGTTTAACTAGGTGATATATTCAAAGAGTACAGAAGGGTGTACAGTGAAAAATAACTCTTTCTCCCCACTCTGGATCCCCCAGTCCCTTGATCTCTCTCCTCGAAGACAGCCACAGTTACTGGATTTTGGGGTTTAGTTGTAAAAATTAGTCTGTGCCCATGTCAGTACATTCAACGTGTGTTTCCTTTCTCCCTCCCTAGAGTGTTCTACAACCAGTTTTGCACCTTCCTTTTTTCCCTTAATGGCGTATCTTGGTAATCATGCCACCTCATTCCCGATAACTGGACCTCATTCTTACAAATAGTAGTCTGTTGTATAAATCTGTCAGAATGTGTATCATCTGATCCCTTTTGTTGGATTTGTAACCAGGTTTTGGATGTTTTGTACAGTACTACAATGGCAGTACTTGTGATATACAAGGAGGGAGTCGAAAACCCAGTTCCCCTGCACCTAGAACAGAAAACCCAGTCCCTCTGCGTTTGGAGAAATGGCTCTTTGCCTCTTCAGGCCACAGCGGGGGCGGTGTCCACTAGGAGGGTCTGCTCTCACCCCCAGTGTGATCAGGCAGGCTGCAGGAAGAGTCCCCTGCTCGTGTGAATCAACTAACTTCTCTGTGACGCTAAATAGAAATCGTTTTTTTGCATTGTTCCATTGTGGGTTTCTTGGGTGCTAGAAGAGTTACCTGTAAGGCGTTCAATTTAGGGTTGATTTATGTAGTTTTATGCATTTATATTTTCCTAAACCGGAAGTTCTCAAGGGTAGAGGGTGGCATATAAACCACGTGAAACCGGGCACAATTAAAGGCCTTATGGATGACAGTGATGACAATAAACGTGTCGGGGCTGAGCAGGCTAAGTCATTCCATAATAGATGAGACGCCGTATTGGTTTCTTTTCAAAGCTGGCCTTTTCTCTTTCCATAATGCTGCCTCTGCTTTTTTAACACCCACAAGCATCCATTTTCAACGGTCCCATCACCACCCTAGTCTGGACAGTATATGGGAGGTCTGACTCCATGTTAACTCCGTCCTATAAATATCGGGCAGAGAACCCTGGAGTTCATTTCCAGCACCTGATCTATGAGCTGCTGCCCAGGCTCCATCCCCAGGCTACAGCAGTGATGACGTGGGGAATAGGTTTGGATGGTGAGCTGATTTTCTCTTACCGATAAGACTTCTGATTTTCCCCGTTTCATTGAAATGGTCTCGAGCCAAGGCAAGTGGTGCAACAGGCGTCATTCCAGAAGCTCATTGTTATTTTAATGAGTCTGCATTAAACCATGGAGGAAATTAGAAGGCCCAGGTAGTTGAACTGTGGAAAATTATAGCTGGAGAAGTTCATGGGTCTCCTGTCCTAATGGAATTAGGTCTTAGCAGCTGCTGAGCGGGCAGAAGTGCATCTCAAGAACGGTATATATGTTGTATATTTATAATCACTTTCCTTCCCTCTGCTGCACCTGTATTTATTTACTTTTATGAGGCCGTGTATCTATCTGAAAACCTGATTTCCTCCCCTAGGTGACTGACTGCATGTGATTGCCTTACGCTGCCATCATTAACTCGAGGTTACAGTGGTTAACAAGCTGTTTCTAGACAACCGAGCCCCCCACTAGGGTCCCTTCCCAGAGCTGAAATGGATTTTACCACCAGTGATCTGTGGCCACTCCGTGTTCTAGTACAGTAGGGAAGTGTCTCCTTTTATATCTCACCCTCTTTCTCATCTGAGTAAGAGGTAGGATTTGGGGTCTGGTCTTCCTGGGTCAGCTTGGTGTCACGATAAGGAGGAGCCCGAAGTCTGTCATTGGAATTGACCAACTGTTTACGCCCATCCTGCCCTCAGCTGAGCAGGCTGCTGCAGGCCTGGGCTGAGTGTAGGGTAGATGGATCCGGGTCCCACCTTTTAAAGTCCTTATTAACTACCAGATGAGCTTGAATCAGGGATCTCTAGGCTCAAAGCATTGTGCAGCTGAGTTAGTGACAGCCTCTTTTTTTTTTTTTTTCTCCTCTAAAGAAAACAAATAGAGGCTTATACACAGGCCATTGCTGATGCTTTCTCCTGGGATTGAGAAAGGGCTGGTCCTACGTGTCAGTATCTAATCATAGGTTCAGCTTGGGTGTCAAAAATCCATCCTGGAAAAAGTTCGGACCTGCTGCTGTCTCCCCTACTTCCCCTTGCTCTAACCATGCTGGATTCTGTGAGTTTACTCCACGTTCCGTAGGACACCAGCTAGCTTCCTTGTGAACATTTTTAGGCATACAGTGAATATTTATTGATTGCCTACTTTGTGCCAGCCACTGTTCTACGGAAACAGAGGTGGACACAGCCCAGTCCTTGATCTCAAGAAGCTTGCAGTCTAGTGAGGGAGACAGACAAGATAGAATTCAGTGTAAGGGACTAAGTGCTGATGTAGATGCAGGCAGAGGGAGTGGCCAAGGCAGCTTAGGAGATGACGCCCAGCCTCTTACACAGGTCACACCGTGAGGTTCTCGGAGCACACATGCTCTTTTTCTCTGGTCATGGTACCTTCGCTTAGAGTTCCCAGGTTGTGGCCACCCAGAGCTCTGGAGTGAGGCCAGCCGTAGTGTCTTTGGAATCTAGATCTACCTTGGATCTAAGATGCATGAACTTGAGAAGTGCCTGTGGTCAGAGTGCAAGGAAGTGAAGGTGTTCATGCAAGATTCCAGGGGTGTACTGTTCCGGGGGCCTCGGCTCCGACTCCTGGGGGTGCTGGGGACATCTCTTGCGTGTCCTCTGTGCGTCTCAGCATCTTGGGCTTTTGTGTTCTAGGTTGCCAAGAGGGTGATCTTACTGTCGGGCACCCCAGCCATGTCCCGGCCGGCAGAGCTCTACACGCAGATCCTCGCCGTCAGGCCGACCTTCTTCCCTCAGTTCCACGCCTTTGGACTTCGCTACTGTGGTGCCAAGCGGGTATGTGTTCTTTGTTCCCCCTCTTCCCCGCCCACCCCCACCCTGATTTTCACACCTCCCTTTCCATTCCTTCTTTTTGGCTGTGGTGTGATCAGAAGATCACTGGCCATAGAGCTGGATTCAGATTTTAGCTCTGCTTTGCCCCTAACTCTGACCTTGGAGTGTCCTCTACGGTAAGATAAGAGCAGCCCCTCCGAGTTCTAATGCTTGTGGTGATTCCACGTTAGTGTTTTCTAGTAGAGCGACCAGTGGCCGATGCATAGGTGCCTGGAGCTCTGAAAGCCAACAGCTCTTGCCTCAGAGAAGGGCACTGAGGTGAGCTCCAGGTGAGGCCGAGGCCCTACATACTCTGTGCAAAAAGGACAGAGGAAGCCTTTGAACAGGTGGAGTGGGAAGCATGATCTCAGGCTCCCCTGGTGGGCTCTCATCAGTGGGCCTTTGCTTTAAATGTCGACTCATTATAGTGAATCGTGCCCGGTCAGCAGGCCAGAAGCCTCTGACCTGCAAATTATCTCTATGAATACGGTGCCAATGGAGCAGCTGCCCCTGAAGCTACAGTCTGCACAGCTTCCGTTCTCCAAAAATGGCAGAGGAAGCCTTGTAAACAAATGCCGTTGCAATCAAAATCGTGATTTCTGGACTTCCCCGGTGACGCAGTGGTTAAGAATCTGCCTGCCAATGCAGGAGACACGGGTTCAATCCTTAGCCCGGGAAGATCCCACATGCTGCGGAGCAGCTAAGCCCGTGAGCCACAACTACTGAGCCTGCGCTTTAGAGCCCACGAGCCACAACTACTGAAACCCACACGCCTAGGGCCCTTGCTCCACACGAGAAGCCACCGCAATGTGAAGTCTGTGCACCACAATGAAGAGTAGCCCCCGCTCGCCGCAACTAGAGAAAGCCTGTGTGCAGCAGCAAGACCCAACGCAGCCAAAAAAATAAAAAATTTTTAAAAATCACGATTTCTAAAACCTGTTTTTTTAAATAGATTTATTTAATTAATTATTATTTTTTTTTTTGGCTGCGTTGGGTCTTCCATGGCTTTGTGCGGGCTTTCTCTGGTTGCCGAGGGTTTCTCATTGTGGTGGCTTCTCTTGTTGTAGAGCACGGGCTCCAGGCGTGTGGGCTTCAGTAGTTGTGGCACACAGGCTCAGTAGTTGTGGCACATGGGCTTAGTTGCTCCATGGCATGTCGGATCTTCCCGGACCAGGGCTCGAACCCATGTCCCCTGCATTGGCAGGCGGATTCTTAACCACTGCGCCACCAGGAAAGCCCCCTCAGTTTTTTTTAGCTGAAGAAAAAAAGTTTATTTAATGACATGGGGAAATAAAAGAGTGGAAAAAAGTAGGATGTGAAACTTTCCCTTTAGTTAATTATTCATTCTTTGTCTCCCTATCTTCCCCCGCCTCCTCTTTCACCCCCCTCTGTGTCTCTCTCCTGTATGACTGGAAGATAAGGTATGCCAAAATGGATTACTTTCGTAAATGAGAAAGTCAACATTTTAAAAAATATTTAACTTACAGTAGTCACAAATGCGAATTCCTCCTGACGGGCCGTTGACGCCATTAGCGGTCACCAGTCTGGCCACCTGGCTGAGCATGGGACTCCATCTTCCTCAGCGGTGCCCTTCTGCCAAAACCCCGCTTTCAGAAGGATGACCTTGCCAGACAAAGGGCCACTGCTGAAGGATGAATTCATCACTGGGCTTTCCTCTGGATGCCCCAGCACCTCACTTTTGAATACAGATCAAGAAAATTCTAGCTGCCACCACCATCTCTCTTGCAAACCAGAGGAAAAGAGTCAGGAGGTGGAGAGCAGAGGAAGGGGTAGAGGGCAGCGTTTTTGTCTTTTCTCACCAGTCTCCTTGTCCGCTGGTGCAGTACAGGGCACGTGTGTAGCGTGTGTCATCTCCACAGGGCACATGTGTAGCATGTGTCATCTCCACAGGGCACATGTGTAGCGTGTGTGATCTCCACAGGGCACGTGTGTAGCGTGTGTGGTCTCCACAGGGCACGTGTGTAGCGTGTGTCATCTCCACAGGGCACGTGTGTAGCGTGTGTGATCTCCACAGGGCACGTGTGTAGCGTGTGTGGTCTCCACAGGGCACGTGTGTAGCGTGTGTCGTCTCCACAGGGCACGTGTGTAGCGTGTGTCATCTCCACAGGGCACGTGCGTAGCGTGTGTGGTCTCCACAGGGCACGTGTGTAGCGTGTGTGATCTCCACAGGGCACGTGTGTAGCGTGTGTGATCTCCACACTTGGCGGCTGAGGTTGGCTGAGATTCCCTGTGCTGGGTCCCTCCAGACACGGCACAGGCCTCAACTGGTAACATGCTCGCCTCTGCGGTTTGGGGGCTGAGTCAGTGAACGAAGAAACGCGGGTCGAACGAGCTGCCAGTGCTGGCGGGCCTGGGCGTGGTTCCTCTGTAGACCGATCACTTCTGACATCCTGTCACCCTCAGCAGTAATAATGTTGCCAAGTGCCTGTTCCAAGTATGCCCGAGCTGTGTTCAACCTGCAGATGGCCAAGGAGGCCCTGCCCCAAGCAACACTTGGTCCTTCTCTGAGACTGGTAATCCCCAGACGCCTCCCTCATGTAGTTCTTTCGCTCCTTCGTGTTCCCTCTGCCTCTTCAGGTCGAAGCAGCCCTCTGTGTCTTGGTTTGGCAGGAGCCAGGCCACCCCCAGAGTGTGGCGGGGCACGACCAGAGCTTCCAGGATTTCCTCGCTCTCCTTGTCTGCGGCCGTGTCTCCCTTGTAGCTCCGCAGCGCGTTCTTGGTGGACACAGCATGTTTCCTGGCCTGAGCTGGGGGGTCTCTCCGTGTCAGGCAGCCATAGCCAGGTTGGCCAAAGCCTGTGCATGTTTCCAGTGCTCTTCCCCAGAATAACCCGAGACAGGATGACACACAGAATTAGCTCCTTGTTTGCTTAGGAGTTCGTTGTTTTTCCTTAATCAGTTGAGCTGTTTTCTTCAGGCACTGGGCTGTTCTCTTTTCAGGAAGAGACACAGTCTGTGGCCTTCTCCTTCTTGGCATCTGTGCCCTCTTCACTCTCTCCAGACCCACCAGTGGGATACAGTCTCATCTGTTCGCTGGTGTGCTGGGGCCTTGGTGTGCTGTGATGGGTGGAGCAGAAGTCCCAGTCGGTGTCATTGCTGACAGGTGGGAGGTGATGGGGCTGGTTCGAACCTTCTTCCTGAGCCCCGAGTAGCTCTCTCTGATCCAGGCTCCGGAACACCCACGATCTGAAAACCAGAAAGGGAGAGTCACTCACTTCTCTTTCTAATCTCTACTTTCAAAGCTGTAGCCAGGGTGATGGATTTATCCTTCAACAGTTGTCTTTTGTCCGGCAAGGTAGACTTCTCAGATGCCTAAACCCTGTTCCCGTGAGGTTCCAGTAGCACTGAATTAGAATGGCAGGCGCTGGCCCCTCTCTCAAGGGCAAATCGCTTCTCATTTTCCCCACTTGTTCTACTGCAACCTTGAAGCCACAACTCCAGCTCACCCTGGCTTCTCTCCTGTGGGCAGTGTCCCTGTGCAGAGGCTCTAACTGGACGCTAAAGCCTCATTACTTCAGACCTTAAGGATTCCTTCTTTTGATCAAGTCACAAATACGCCGAGCTGCTGCCTGCATCGAAGACACTGACACTTGGAGAAACGGCTGCCCCTCACTCATCACCCATGCCACCTGGGAGAGAAAAGCCTTGCCATGCAAGTTAGTGATGTTAATAAGATCATCTGCCTTATTTTAAAATACTTTTGGAAAAGAAAAAACAGCTTTTCAAGTACTTTAAAAATATCCACTTACATTCAGAGTACTTATAATGCAACTTGTGGTGCTTGGCAAAGTTAATGGCAAACCGTTTTTAGCTGGTTATTGAGGCAGGAGATTTCTGTTATTAAATGTATTTAAAGCCATACACGCCTTTAACAAAGTCTCCCCATGGATCAGTCCAGGTTAGGTTGTGCGCAGTTGTGTCGATCCCTCAAGACAACTTGATTTCTGAAAAGGATCTTATCTTCCTCGACCGTCTGGGCGCATGGTGTCGTGTTTAGCCAGGGGCCGGGGGAGCTGAGGGCAGAGCCGTTCCCTGCCTTTACTGCTGCACTGTCCCTCCCTGGGTTCCCAGGCTCTGGCCACCGTCTCCGCAGTCATTCAGGCCATCCTCAGATTCGCCCTTGTCCTCCTCCTGCTGCCACTGCCCCAGCATCCAAGAAAACATAGTCAGACGCTGCCTTCCCCATCTTTGTATCCTTCCTTTCACCTAGCCCAATGCCTGCTCCGTGATAAGTTTTCAATAAAAGCTTGTTGGATTGTAATTAAGGTATTACGCATTTAAAACCTTTGGTATTATTGGGTTTTAACCTGCAAGGTTAAGAGTTGATAATATTAGAAGGTAGGAACGTTATACCTAAATTAATTATGATATCCATTTGTTCCTAGCATGATTTTTATATAATGCAGCCAGTAGGCCAGGGCTACTTTTTTTTTTTAATTAATTAATTTATTATTTTTGGCTGCGTTGGGTCTTCGTTGCTGCGCACAGGCTTCCTCCAGTTGTGGCGAGTGGAGGCTACTCTTCATCGTGGTGCGCAGGCTTCTTATTGCAGTGCCTTCTCTTGTTAAGGAGCACAGTCTCTAGGCGCATGGGCTTCAGTAGTTGTGGCACATGGGCTCAGTAGTTGTGGCTCGTGGGCTCTAGAGTGCAGGCTCAGTAGTTGTGGTGCATGGGCTTAGCTGCTCCGTGGCATGTGGGATCTTCCCAGACCAGGGATCGAACCTGTGTCCCCTGCATTGGCAGGCGGATTCTCAACCACTGCGCCACCAGGGAAGTCTCTACTTTTTTTTTTTTCTTTTAACTGTGGCCAGATTCTTGCATTAAGAGAAGCCACTGAAAAGAATGCCCCATGCCGAGCTCATTTTCGACCCTATACCGTGAAGGCATTTGCTCAGAACATCCAGTTGATTTCAGGGTGTATTTTTTTAAAAGAAGAAGCAGTTTTTGATCATTTTATTTCTCCACCTTTGGCTGTCTCTTCCTGCTCTCAATCTAGCAGAGGTTTATAGGACACCTATCACATCTCCAGCATTATACTAGGTCCACTGGCCCTCGAAAATGATCAAGCCTAGCCCCTGCCCTCGGTGGTTCACAGTCCAGGGTGGGCTGAGGCATGAGGGAAAAATTGAGCAGCTGAAACCCTAAGGCAGCAGATACCCTGGCTCCCTGATTTTCTACAGGACCGTAAAAGTCAGTCCTGTTTCCAGTAAGATTGTTAGTGAAGGGCAGGGTTTTTATTTTAATCGGTAGGATCTTGTCTACCTGTGTGGTAGGAAGTAGACATTCTTGCTCACTGCCTCCTTGAGCTGCTAAATGAAGGAACCATTTTTATGAAGGACTGCCTGGGCGCTCTAAAACCCACCTCTGGTTTCAGCAAGACTGCAGCACCTGTGTTCTGGGTTCTTCCCTTCAGCCGCCTCCACCATAGCCACCGCAGTGGCATTCACCAGGTCACGCATGGTGAGGCCCACGCTGGGGAAGAGCAGCTTCGTAATCCCTGTAACCCCCATCAAATAAAGATGTTACAGCATCATCTGTTACCTTGTGCAACAGGCTCAGTCGGGTAAGCCCTAGGGAAACTTTGTGCATGTAGTGTATGGGAAGAGTCTGACAAGCTGAGTGTCTCGTTTGTTCTTCAATGTAACAGGCACCAAACCGCTTGACATCTTGCCTTTGCTGCTAGAAAGGATAGCGCCAAACTGTGGGACGCCATGATACAAGTTTTTGGTTCTCTCATTCCTGACTTTCTTTCTTCCTTTTCCTTCCTGTTTCTCATTTGTATTCTGTGAGATTTTATTCATCCCTTAAAGCCACTTGAAGTTCTCTGAACAAAGCCAAGGGAAGAGAGGGTTGCGAGAAGGCCATTCCCGGAGGTGACAGCTCCAGTCCTGGGCCCTGGGGACTCTCACGAGCTGTGTCTCCGTTCTGCCTCCACAGCTGCCCTGGGGATGGGATTATTCAGGCTCCTCCAACCTGGGGGAGCTGAAGCTCCTGCTGGAGGAGACGGTCATGCTGCGACGCCTCAAGGGCGACGTCCTCTGCCAGCTCCCAGCCAAACAGCGCAAGATGGTGGTGGTCGCCCCAGGCCGGATCAGCGCCAGGACCAGAGCTGCCCTGGATGCCGCGGCCAAGGAGATGACCACCAAGGAGAGCACTGTGAGTCCGGGGCTGGAGATGGGGATTGGGAAGGTCCCCTTGTGCACAGCTGTTCCTGCCCTGGAGGGGCACTGCAGAGCTGACCCAGGGTCCCCCGACCTTGTCTTCCCGTAACCTCTCTCCCTCGCCCCGGGCAGGATGGTGAGCCCGCTTCATTTCTCAGCCTACCTAGTCTACTTCCAAAATCTCGTATTAATTTGCAGTTTTCTACTTGTGTAGATCACTGTTGATGGACAGTCATAGAGATAAACGCCAGGGCAACCACAGGATGGTGATATGTATTCTGAATCCCTCAAAGAAAGTTGGAGTTTATGTTTAGTGTATTTTGAGAATACTTCCTTTAGTAACAGTCATTAGAAATTAGTCCTAAGTGTATTTGTTATATATGTTAACGCTCTAATCATCTCATGTCTTTTGCTTTAGTCAAAAAAACAAATTGACATTTATATAACAAAGAGTTTTCAAACTCTCTTAACTTTTAATCCTTGTTACGGTCATTTATGGTTGGCAACAAGTTGGCACCCCCATTTTATAGAGGGGGAAACTGAAGCTCACAGAGAGTGGGATTTGCCCAAGGTCTTATGGCTACTCCATGGCAGAGCTGAGGCTATAACCAAGCCTGTTAGCCTTATATATTAGGGCTCTTTCCACTATGGTGACTTTGTCTTTTCAAAACACTTGCGTTTCATATCTGTCTTTAGTGTCATACTGTGCTAAGTGCTATAAAGTAATCTATACCAGACCCATTTCTGTCCTCTTGGGATAAAAACCTTGCAATTTTCATTCCCAAGAAAATGACAGTCATTGACATTTTCTGACATTATCATAAAGCATTATCTGGGCTTGATATTACCCTGTATACGGAAACTTAGATCTACATGAGGTACTAGCCTTCTGGGAGAGTACAAAATAAATAAGATGACAGGAGACAGAATGTGTGATTTTTTTTTTTTAATGTTATTTTACCATGTGATGAACAAGACTGGCTAGTCATTTTTAAGAAGCAGTGTAGGGTAGAGGATGCACTGGTAACTTGTCTAGCAGTATTTAATTTATGCTGTATTATACATAATAATCGGGATGGCCTGGAGGAAGTGAGCAAGCGTAATCTCTTTGCCGTGGAGTTTTCAAGTGAAGTTCCTTAACGTTGACGTGGACATACAGACCAGTGGTTCTCAAATTATATTTCAGTGGAACCATGAGCAGAACCGGGGTGTTCTGTTGCTAAAATCAGCATTGGTGTCTTTTTCTGATTTCTAGAGGAAAAAAGGCAGTGAATAAAAATATTTTCTCAATTTTAGTTTTTTCTTAGAACTTTCTTAAACCTTTAATGTCTACTAACTTTTGCCCACCAGTGAACTCCACCAGACAAGGAAACCAAGGAACATGTATAGCGTATGTAATATTAATGGGAAAAATTCAGATGTGTGATCTTTTTAGATGCAGAGGTCTGAATGTTTATAAAATGCTATGTTTTAGTTCCTTGTGTGTGTGATGGAAGAAAGTCTATTAGTATTTTGTGGGAGTCCCCAGAGGACACCCTCACCTGTACCCAGTCCATCTCCTGAACCAGGTGGTGGAGAGCAGCCAGTGTAGACAACTGACAAAACGGTCTGTGGGCATTAGAATTGAGGAGGAAGTCACGTTAAGTGGTCAAGAGGCAGTATGGCTAAAAAGACGTATGGGAATTTTGAACTTAGTGCAGCAAGGTTTGAAAGCATTTTTTAAACTTTCCGCCAATGTACACAGTTAGGTGAGTGGCTCTTTCCAAAGATGATTTCATATGTAACCTGCAAGTTTGATTTCTGAGTTTATCAACAGTGATGTGAAATTGACTAGGCTGAGCCATGGAAATCAGGAATATTGGGTGTTTATAACTCCCCGTAGCTATGCAAGTCCCTTAAATTCTTTGGGATTTGTAGATACTTTCTTCCCTAAAAAGGGGAGCCACGACCTACCTCATAGGCTTGGTGCTGGAAAAGTATGAAGGACTTGGGACAGTTGCTCTGAGTCCTGCCTGTTGTGTGTGATTGTTGTCTCTGCTTCTACAGCCCAGAGTCTTAACACTATTTTGCAGATTGTGAAAACAAACCCTAAATTGCAGTGTAATTCTTCAAGAATCCAGTGGAGAAGGGGCCTTGAGTTCTTCCCAGTCCAGTGCTGGAGAATTGCTATGTGCTTCCTTGGTATCTTGGGAAATTTAGGTTTGTCCCTAAGAGAGAGAAATTGAATAGATACAGGTTGCCTTCAGCATATGATGCTCAAGCCACATGCTAAATTCTTTTAGATAATAAGACAAATTCTTGAAAATTTGCTTTTCTTTTGTGTTCCTTAATGTAAATTAATTTTTATAATGGAAAATCCAAGTAGCAAATGAATTTATGAGCATGACCCTGTAGAACATCAGAACCTTTCTTACTGTAAAGCCCCAGATTTGATGCATGTACAAACCGTGGCTCTGACTGGGAGCACCCTCCTGCCAGCTTAACCCAGGAAGGGGAGCCAGTGTCAGCCGGGGCTTGGGCCAGATGGCCATCAACATGCCTTCTAAGCCCTGACTGGCTGTGAAATCCTGAACTGAAAGTGTTAAAATGGAGAATCATGGTTTTGTGGTTTTAGTCTGTGAATCTATAGAAAGGACCCCACCACCACCATTTTTATAGTGACTCTGTAGCCCCAAGTTTCCCTGCAATTTTACACATTATGGTGGTTCCAGCAAAGCACTGCTAGCCTGTCAAAAAGTGATTTCTTTCTTTGTTCCCTCACACCTTCCCATCTGGAGGAAGACATTTTTTAAAAAGCTTTAAATCACAGAAGCCAAGGTGAAGCGGCCAATTTATAAAACATAATGTACAGTGAAATCTTTTTCTCATTTTCAGCCAAAATAATAGATAGCTGTTCACAGGCTGAGAAAAGCTGACTCTAATCATCTTTTGTCTAAAGCCGTTTTTTTGATCAGCAAGACCAGGAACAGAAAAATGGAACTGGTCCATGCAGACTTCCTGGTGACAGTATCAGCTCACCTTTCTGCCATTTGACAATCCACTTAGATTCCAACATAGAAAAATAAATTCAGAACCCAGTGGATCTAATTTAATAAAAATCTAAGAAGCAGGAACAAAGAATGCAGGTTATTTAAAATTTCCCAGTCCATGGCTGACAAAAGAAGTAATAAGATAGTTAATGGGCTAGTATTATGTCTATCAGTTTGGGGAGCTTTTTTTTTTAAGATAAAACTATTGATTTCTCCCACATTAAAAATACAATAGAGGGCCTCCCTGGTGGCGCAGTGGTTGAGAGTCCGTCTGCTGATGTAGGGGACACGGGTTCGTGCCCCGGTCCGGGAAGATCCCACATGCCGCGGAGCGGCTGGGCCCGTGAGCCATGGCCGCTGAGCCTGCGTGTCCGGAACCTGTGCTCCGCAACGGGAGAGGCCACAACAGTGAGAGGCCCGCGTACCAAAAAAAAAAAAAAAAAGAAAAAACAATAGATATCTGTTGTATAAAATCTGCCAAATAAAGAAAAGTATAATATGTAACACATTGGTTTTTTATCACTATACTATAAAAAAGATTAACCCGGGGCTTCCCTGGTGGCGCAGTGGTTGAGAGTCTGCCTGCCGATGCAGGGAACACGGGTTCGTGCCCCGGTCCGGGAAGATCCCACGTGCCGCGGAGCCGCTGGGCCTGCGCGTCCGGAGCCTGTGCTCCGCAGCGGGAGAGGCCACAGCAGTGAGAGGCCCGCGTACCGCAAAAAAAAAAAAAAAAAAGATTAACCCATCTATTTATATTACATAATTTTGGCATATATCATTTTGGTATTTTTTCTATAAAATTTATGTGTTTTTTGCTTTAAAATATATATTATTTATCTCTCTCTATATATTATAACTTATGTACATAATAAGCAGCATATGTATTTTAAAAGCAGAATTGGGATCTTATAAAGATACATCAAGTGGGGAAGAAAGCAGGTTACAAAACTATCTGTACCCTTTTCCATGTTGTTGTTGTTCTTCTAAAACATAACATTTGAAGACTGCATGATGTTTTCTCACCTGGCTATATTGTAATTTTGCCAGTCATTTGTAGTTGGACATTGAAGTTAGTTCAATTGTTCACTATGCTAAGTAACACTACGCTGAAAAAGCAGTTTACATCTGAATTTGTGTACCTCCAATTCTATCCTGAGGGTAAATTGTAGGAGTGAGCTGCTGCATCACAGGGCATGGGCATATTTTGAAGACTTTTGGTACCTATTGATAACAGCCCCAAAAGGGTTATTAGCCCAGGGTCCCATCTCCCAAGCTGTGTGTAGTAATGATGTTTGTTTTCTCACACCCACATTGGCTCTGCCTGTTAAATCTTGGGGCAGGGTTTCTGAAAGTGCTTTCACCATCTCTCCATCTGTTTTGCCCTCTCCCTTTCTAAGAGCAAGTGCGGCCTGAGTGTGGGTGGGAGGGAAGGACCTGACAAGAGTCTCTGAAGGAACAGGAGTTTAATTGCGGACTGAGAACGGGTAGGGTGCAGTCTCCTTGAGGCGTACACGCTGCGGGTGAGGTCGTCAGATGGGAGCCTGACACTGTCCCTTCAGCATATCCTACTAGGGACGCGTTCGGTGGTTGGAGGGCCTAACCTACTGCAGGGGACCCTTTGAGAGATACGAACGGACTCCATGTGAGTTCATGGGCCACACGCGAAAAGTGTGTGTCCAGAGCCTCATCAGAATCCTGACTGGGCCTGGGGCTGAGAAACAAGTTAAGACACACACACAGAATCACATCTTCAATGTGAGTTCCCGGGAGGTTAGAGTTGTTTAACTGAACTGCTGCCACAAAATAGGAGGGACGTGTGAAGCTGAAACTAACATACCATTGTAAAGCAATTATACTCCAATAAAGATGTTAAAAAAAAAAAAAAAAAATAGGAGGGACGGTGCCCACCACTGCCACGACTCATGTAGAAAATGAAATGGATTCACTGTCCCGTCAGTGCCCCTACGGTTTCCTGTCGTTCCTGGGTCTCTTTCTTCTTTCTTGTCAAGGCCTAGAGGAGAGATGCTATTTAAAGCCAAAAAACGATTTTGACCAGGTAGCTTTTCTCACCATCTGTGGTGTGTGTAGTTTAAGGTACAGTCCAGCTGTGGCTGCTTTCCTGAGTTATTAATGAGTTCCGGGCCATAGGTGTTTTTACTGTTGGGTCACTTCTTTGTTCCATGAGGAAGCTGCCATGTCAATCACTGGCCTCACAGGGCCCAGGCCCAAAATGTAGGAGTATCTATAAACCCATGCTGGCTAGTGGAAGGGGATGGCTGCCCCACCACGGATGGTAAGAGTATCTGTCCTCTCTGGGAACCCAAGAGTAATGGTAAATGTTATCTCATATTGTTGTGAAACTGGTTAAGCACCTCCTGGGTTAGCATTCTTTATTGGGATTTATTTAGATGCAAACTATAAAGAAAATACCGTTTCCTCTTGAGGGAAGTCAATTACCTTCTGTGCACACAGGCCAGAAACATGTGAATAACATTTTGAGATGATACTAGAATAGACTAGTTGGGGTCAGTTGGAAATGATTCAGTAAGTCTTAGAGGTGAGCTTAGTCAGTTGGGTATGGACACAAGTTGGCAGAAGGAAAGGGGTGGGGGAACATCGTGGGCCACTGTCATGTGTAAGTTGTCACCAGGCTGTAATACCTATAGTAAATAGGTGTGCTTAGCAGGGCTGCCTTCCCGCTGAGCACATGAGCTTGGCATGGATGGTGAAGCACTACCTGCAATGCCCTTCCAAAGAGCTTGCATGTTCCTTGCCTCATGGGATTCTCACAACAGTTCTCGAAGGGTGACAGAACATCTGTAATGCTACTTTGTCTCCCAGTACAAAACCAGAGTGCAGACAGTGTCTGTGGCGTGGCTGAAGCGCGTGGGTAAGTCAGGGCCTCTCAGCTCTGGCGATGGATGTTGGGATTTGTGAAGCTCTTGGTGGTGATGATTATGTCAGCGTGTCACGGAGTTCTCAGAGTGGGAGACTTCAAACCCTCGATTTCTCCTTCCACAGAAACAGCAGCAGAAAGAAGCCCTTATTCTCTTCTTCAACAGAACAGCTGAAGCTAAAATCCCATCTGTCATGTAAGTGAACACCAAGTGTCGACTTCTCTCTCTCTCTCTCTCTTTTTTAAAAAGAAATACCTGTTATCTTAGTCCGTCAGGATGGTTCTATTGCTCTGTAAGAAATGATTAGCGATTTGAATGGTAGTTGCCTTGAATATAAAGTTTAGGGCACCATCACCCAGGAGGCATAAGTAGGCTTGTCGCTGGAGCCCTGCCAGGATGTGCTTGGGGTCCCTGCGAGATCCCGTCTTAACCCAAGTGACCTGGAGCTGGAGCCACTTATGAGCAGGGTTGGGTGACCCAAACACTGAAGGGAAGTTTTCCTCTTGCTAAGAGAACTGTGGTCACTTGCCTGTAGGAAAAAAATTAGGGGTTTCACAGAAGACCAGGAAGCTGCCTTACGGAGATTCTCTGGTCGTCTCCAAAGACATCATGTTTCAGCTGTCATTTACCTAAATAAGAAAGAAGGTGAATACCATCGTTTGTTCAAAAGATACGGGCAAGTGGCTGTTGTCACACTTGGTCTCCTTCTGTCTTCTCAACTAAAGCTGGTGTAATAATTTCTGTTCTTAAAATTATTCACTGACTTGAAAGAAAAAATCTCAATTGTCTGCCTTGGCTAAAGAAAGAAAAACCCACTGCTCTTCACATATCACTGAGATAGAAACTTGAAGCAAGTCTAACGACATGCAGCTTGCCTAATTTTTTACTGTTTAACATTTGTGTGAGACTCAGGCAGGGTAATGGTCCAAGTGATTCAATTACAATGAAATGAATTTAGCGTGGGTTGAGCGGTCCCAGATTGGCTGTGGGGACCGAGATCCATGGATAGATGGAGACCTACAGCCTGCCCTGCCCTCTCACTGAGCCTCTGCATCTCCCAGCCTCACCGGCCTCTCCCTCTGCACCCTTAAATGTGGTTGGAGAGTGAGTTCGCTGTGTTGTTCAAATCACAGACTCTCCGCAAAGACTCCTGAATGTCGGGCAGCTCTCCTTCACCCTCTGGGCACTGCCCTTTTCACTTATGATACTGTTTAAGAGACCAGTGAACTCCAGATGTGGTTTTTATGGCCTGGAAACTTCTCTCTCAGACACTAATCTGAATTGCCTCCACTGACATTTCTCATGTGCTGCTGAATAACACATGGCATGGGTGTGAGCCCCTTCCCTCGCTGTCTCAGCTTGTGACCTACAAAATCCAGGGTCCATTGAGTGCTGGGCCCAGAGCCATCCATTTCCCTTAGGAATTTTAAATCTAACCATTTTCCACCTTATAAATAAACTTCGGTAATACCTTGTCTTACTCCATTCATGCTGCTATGACAAAAATATCGTAGGCCGTGCACCTTAAACAACAAACATGTATTTCTCACAGTCCTAGAGGCTGGGAAGTACAAGTTCAAGGCGCTGGCGGATTCAGAGTCTGGTGACAGTTCTTTTCCTGGCTCGTAGACAGCCCTCTTCTCGCTGTGTCCTTGCATAGTGGAAGGGGAAGGGTGCTTTCTGGGGTCTCTTTTATAAGAACACTAACTCCATCTCCTCCCATAGGCCCCACATTGGGGGTTCGGATTTCAGCATATGAACTGGGGGGCAGGGACACAAACATTCAAATCATAACATACCTTATACATGCTTTTTCAAAATTCCATGATAAATTATATAGTGATTTATAGTTTCCAACAGTTTTGACATCTGTTAACTCATGTCACATTTATAGACTCCTCGTGAGATCAGTAGAATAAAGTTAAAATGCAGAAACTGAGTAAATCTAACGTAAATCTCTAAACTTCAGAATCATACAGCTAGTAAGTGGAAATTAGATTATAAATCTTAAAACCCCAGTTTCCTCTGATAGTTGTTTTTCTTCCCATTTTTGCTGTTGTTCGTTTTCATTTTAATGGACATCTTTCAATATAGAGCGAAGGTTATTGTGGTCGGCAGATATTTCCCGCTCGGTAGCTCAGGGACGTGAGGAAGGGCAGAGCAGCAATGCCACGTCTGCGATGTAGAGGGTGAGAGGCGTCAGGAAAACTGGGGGCCGTGGTGTTTATGGCTGGCCAAGTTGATTTCATGGCCTTGTGACTTTCTGATGCTGTAGCAGTTAACTTTTTTGCTTATGTCATGGCAAATTTTATGTCTCTCAAACTAATTAAAGTAGATTCTATTAGTACCAACAATTCACAAACTGAACTCAAATCCATACCGTAGTTGGTCACAGTGTTGTTTGAAAACATTCTTCGACATGTAGAAGAGAGTCTGCCTACCTCTTCCCCACCTGCCTGTGCTGCGATAGGAGACCCTGCAGATTTGTCCTTCCCCAAGGAGAGCAGTGTCTGTTCTTTGCCCAGACACACACCCACGTGTGGGGATGGCCTCAGGCACAGCGAGGGCTCCTTGTGTCCTGTCTGAGGAAGCTGACCTTCCCGCCACCCGTGCAGGAGCCACCGGTGACCTGTACCGGGACTGGGAACCCTCTGCAGGGCGCGAGTGCCAGGGCAAGCTTGGGATCTGCCAACTGGGTGACTCTTCTCCCTACAGCTCCTGGGGGTCGCTGCCTTCCTTTAAGGCCACAGCTAAAGATAAGGAGCAGAAAGTCAAGAAAAAACACAGTGGATGGAGGAGAGAAGTAAATTAAAAGCAGAATAAAGACCATGTAAACAAGGCCTTTTCACCCGTATTCCTTGGCCTTGGAAAAAAGAATTCACGTATACCACTGCCTTAACTGCCGGCCGTGTGGTTTGCAGTCTGATGTGGAAGGGAGCTGGAGGGCGATCCCTGACGTCTCTTCAGTATTGTTACTTACGTCTCAGTACTACATTGCCAGAAATTTATTACTGTCAAGAATCCCTCAGTCCCTGCCCAGGCATTTTCAGATCTGTAAACAACACTTCAATTTTTATTGCAAACACATTATAATGATAGTAGCAGCCAAAGTGCAAACTGTTAATTATCTTGTATGACCCCAGGTAATAATAAGAATGTTTCAGTAACCTATCAGAGACATGTAAAACATAAGGGTACTTTGATTTATTTGTGTTTGGGAGATGACTAAAAAGTATGGAAGAACTCTTTCTGCATATGGCGGAAGATGACTTCCCCACAGTTGCTGAGGGCAAGGGGAGAGGTCAGCCCTCAGAGGAGGGAGAGAATGAGCTGGGAAGGCAGGTACCCAGAAGGTATCTGCTACAGATGCAGTCACTTTTCAGTAATTAATCTCAGCTGGATTGCATATGTGTTTAATTTATTGTGTTGTCATTGTCAAATACAGTGAGTATATCCTGGACCTACTGGAAAGTGGAAGAGAGAAGTTTCTAGTGTTTGCACACCATAAGGTGGTTTTGGGTGCAGTTACTAATGAGCTTGAGAGGAAGGTAAGCTCCCTTTGAAATTCAGCACAGGATGCTTTTCTTGTTTGTGTGTCGACTGCTAAGCAGGCCAAGGTCAGATCTGAGCAAAGAAATGAGGTGAAGGTTTCCGGAAACATTTCTGTCGACTTTCCGAATAATGTTTCTTGCTTGTAGAACCATGAACAGGTTTGTTCTAACCCATCTTTTATTTATTTATTTTGCGGTACGTGGGCCTCTCTCTGTTGTGGCCTCTCCCGTCGCGGAGCACAGGCTCCAGACGCGCAGGCTCAGTGGCCATGGCTCACGGGCCCAGCCGCTCCGCGGCATGTGGGATCTTCCCGGACCGGGGCACGAACCCTGCATCGGCAGGCGGACTCTCAACCACTGCGCCACCAGGGAAGCCCCCCAACCCCTCTTTTAAAATGTTTTATTTTAATAGCTTTATTGAGGTATAATTACCCTGCAATGAACTGCACATATTTGAAGTATACAGTTGAGCAAGAGTGGAGGTAGTTGTTGCACAGAAGGAACAAAAAGTGCCCACTGAACTGAGAAGGTATCTTGAGACCTAAAAACAAGGCAGGCAGTTCCATACCATCAGTGGATCCATTTAGTAAAGGGTAACTTACATGGAGGGTAGGCCTGGGTAGATGGTGATCCAGAGCATTTGCAGCTGCACTCTGCAGTGCTGAGGAGCCACTGGGACAATTACAGTTAACCTAGAGTATAGGGGTGTGTGCTTGGAGACAGGAAGTGCACTCCTAAGTCCAGATCTATGGTGGGTTACTAGCCTCCTGAGCATCAGGAGTGCGTCAGTGAAGGTTGTCATCACTGGAGACTAACCGAGCATACAGGCCACCTGGACCTAAAGGTCATTAAACAGTATCTATTAACTACGAAGCCCTAGATGACAAAGAAGAGGTTCACTACAGGACAGCCCTAGGTAAGGCCACTGGAAGGACAGGAGGAACTGCACGGGCCCAAGATGGCGCCAGTCTTGCTAACAGCCACACAGTAGTGAATATATCCGTCAGCCCCAGAAGTTTCCTCCTGTCCTTTGTAATCCCCGTTTCTCCCCATCCTCCCATCTCCAGGCCACCACTGATCTGCTCTCTGTCACTGTAGATTAGTTCGCATTTTTGGAGCCTTATATAAATGTGGAATCATACAGGATCATACAGTGTGTACTCCTTTTTTTTTTAATCTGATTTCTCTCACTCAACGTATTTTGAGATTCATACATGTTACTGCATGTATCAACAGTTCATTCCTTTCTATTGCTGAGTAATATTCCATTGTATGCATGTACCACACTTTATCCACTCACCTGTTGGTGGACATTTGCCAACCCATTCTTTTTTTTTTTTTTAATTTATTTATTTTGGCTGCGTTAGGTCTTAGTTGCAGCATGCGAGATCTTTGTTGCGGCATGTGGGATCTTTTAGTTGTAGCATGCGGACTTCTTAGTTGAGACATGCAGACAGCCCATCCTTTTTTAGTGACAAGTGGAAACCCACCCAAATGTGAGGAAATAGATAAATGGTTAAAGTATACTATTGTTGCATAATGAACTATTACACAGCCATTAAAAATCATGTTTTAGAAAACACTTTAATAATTTAGTTTATTTACAATATAATGTTTGTCAGAGAAAAGCAAGATATAGAACTTTTTATTTAAAAGATGTAGCAAACACATTGAGAAAAGAGTGATGGGAAAAAATAGATCGGTAATTTATTTTCCTCATAATGTCTGTCTTTATCATTAGAAAACAATAAATACCACTTAAAATAAGCTGATCTCAGGAACCTAATCCTGTGTTTCCCCAGGGGAAATTATCCAGGATTTGCTAATTCAGATTTTATAATAATGACTATATAGAACATAACTACTGTGAATAACAAGACATAACTACATAAGGTTATAAAGCATTTAATATATATATATTAAAATTAAATTTTTAATTGCAAATAAAAAAATTGTTTTTTTAAAGAAAATAAGCTGAGCTAAGCATGCAACTATCAGATACAACTCAGCAGTTGATTTCAGGGCAGTTGTCCCAGAGGAGTGAAAAGTTACATTCACTTGTACACCAATGTTCAGGGCAGCTTTATTTGTAGTAGTGCAAAGCTGGACCAATCCACATGTCCTGCCCAAGGTGAATAGGTAACCATGGTACATCCCTGCCACAGAACACTGCTCAGCAATGAGAAGGAATGAGCTACAGGTGTGTGTGAACCAACTGTACATGCAACGACGGGTGACTCTCCGGGCAGTGATGCTGAGTGAAAAGAGCCCAGCCCCAAAGGTTGCACAGTGTTTGACTCCATTTATAAATGTTCCTTAAATGGAACATTTTAGAAATGCAGGACAGGGCTTCCCTGGTGGCGCAGTGGTTGAGAGTCTGCCTGCCGATGCAGGGGACACGGGTTCGTGCCCTGGTCCGGGAAGATCCCACATGCCGCGGAGCGGCTGGGCCCGTGAGCCATGGCTGCTGAGCCTGCGCGTCCGGAGCCTGTGCTCCGCAACGGGAGAGGCCACAGCAGTGAGAGGCCCGCGTACAGCAAAAAAAAAAAATTATAAGACAGATTAGTAGGGACTGGGTGGGTGAGGGGGAAGCAGGAGGGAGGCGGGCAGGGCTCTAAATGGGCTACAGAGCATCCCTGTGTGGTTAGAACTGTTCACTGTCTCGACTGTGAAGGCAGATACGTGAAAACCCACGTTCGAGATAAAGTTGTATGGAACACACACGCCCAGGAGTTTAAGTAAAACTGGGGAAATCTGGATAAGGTCAGTGGATTGTATCAAAGTCAGTATCCTGGGTGTGATATTATGCTATAGTTTTACCAATATTCCCAGTGGAGAAAACTGGGCAAATCATACGAGGAATCCTTCTCTGTATTATTGCTTAAACTACATGCGAGCCTACAGTTATCTCAACACAAGTTTCAATTATGAAAGGAAAGGAAAGACCAGGAAAGAAGCTCGGAAAGCAGTACGGAGTGGCGAGCTTGATGCTCCACCCGGCTTGGGGCCAGAGCAGCGCGGGGCTGTGTCCCTGGAGCTGTGCCGCCGAGGCCCCGCACCTGCGCCCACCTTGCTTCCCTCTCCTGTTCCCGCAGCGTGTGAAGCACATCCGCATCGATGGCTCCACCTCCTCGGCCGACCGTGAGGACCTGTGCCAGCAGTTCCAACTGTCGGAGGGGCCCGCCGTGGCCGTGCTGTCCATCACCGCCGCCAACATGGGCCTCACCTTCTCCTCGGCTGACCTGGTGGTGTTCGCGGAGCTGTTTTGGAACCCAGGGGTGAGGGGCGTACTCCTGGCTGCTGGCAGAGAGAGCCATTGGGGCGGGGGGCGGGGGGCGGCGGGGATGGCGAGTGGGGCTTCTGTGCGCTGCCCCTGGTGCCTGCGTCATCTTCCCTCTGTTTCTGTTAGGCCTGATAAACACGCTTATACTTTGCACATCCATTGGCCAGCTATTAGGTCTTCACAACAACCTGCTAAGTAGTAGGCTTATCGACCATCTTATTACCAATGGGAAGATTGAAGTTTTAGGAGTCTCATGATCCGTGTCTCCATGAAGAAATTGGAGCACAGAGAGCTCAAGAGCATAGCTGTCACTTAAGGGGAGCACGTGGCAGCCCTGGCCTCAGGCCTCTGGCTTCCCAGCCTCAGCCCCTTTTTATCAACCGCCCCCGGGAGCCACATTACCTGTGGGGCCACAATAGGGCGACTGCGGTCGGTATTCCCTGAACACGCCCAGGGTGCCCACTGGCCTTATCTGATCAGCTGTGGCAGCAGATGGAAGACATTTGTTTGGACTCAAAGTTTTCTCCTCAACTCCAGAAAGAAGTTCTTTCCCTTCTGATGTTCTGACCAGTGTGGCTCTCATCGACCACACATCGGCGACGGCTGTAACGATGGCTGGGCTTAGAGCGTGAAGGCATTTTATAATGGAAACCATGTTCTTGGTTTTCATTATTCGTTGTAGGGTTTTTCCACCGTATAAAAAAGCCACCCTACCCCCTGATCATATATGGCCTCTCCCTGGGCGCAGTATCTCTATCTATTTAGAAGATAACTTTTCATTCCACGGAGGAAGAGTGGCAGTGTGCCGGGTCTCCTTCGTCACAGCTGGTGGCAGAGCTGAAGTTGGCTCTCCCTCTGCAGCGCCCAGCAGCTGGCCCGGCCCTGAAGGGTCATCCACAGCTACCCAGCTGCAGATCGAGGTCCCCCCTGCTGACCAGTATTGTGCTTGCTTCTCCCTTTTGTCAGATGACAGACCGTTTGTGGACAGAGGCTTGCAGGCCCCCTGCCACGTGACACGCAGTGAGGAGGAAGGGTTGTGGTGAGGCTCCGGGGCAAGAGGCCACCTGCTGTGGTTGGCTGAGCAGCTTCCAGCCTTGACCGACATGCGTCCCGATCCCCGCCCCGCAGGTGCTGATGCAGGCTGAGGACCGGGTGCACCGCATCGGGCAGTCGAGCTCTGTGGGCATCCACTACCTGGTGGCAAGAGGCACGGCTGATGACTACCTTTGGTGAGGCCCCTGGCTGGCCCGGCAGTTGGGTCGACACCGATGACGTATTTCCTTTGCTCCCTAAGAGCCTCTGCTTTGGGGCAGGTTTCCAGGGATCCACACAGAAGACCTGCTAGTAGTGCGCTCCCCCTTTCCTCATGACCCTGTTTGACCTCCTGCATAGTGTTAACTGGTGGCTGCAGGAGGCATGAGGAAATCCTGTAGGAATAAGGGGATGTGGCTCCTTCCCACTGACCTGAGACAAGGGAGGAGAACTTATTGGGATGCAATGTAGGTGGAATTTTGTTTGTAATACACTCTGTTCCCAGACGTGAAGGTGTTTGCTGAGTCAGGGAGACTGCCCCCCTGGCCCCTTGGGAGGTGTGCTGGTTCCGTAAGGCCACGTCTTACAGTGCTGCTGCTGGGCCGTGTAGCGCTTCCTTAGCAGAGATGGGGTCAGATTTTTAACTCTGGGGTTTCATGTCCATCACTTAGGCCAAAACTCCCCAAATGCTCCCTCCCCAGTTCCATTTCCTCCTTCCTCATATTGTTTCTTGATTATCTTATTAGTTTCCACTACCTATCTCTGTTTCCAGCATTATGACTAAGGCATCTTACCTTTATTTTGCGTGTGGGTTGCCCCTACTTCCCTTTCTGTTAATGGATTTGTTAACTGAGCAGCTCATAACAGTGCCAGGTTCAAATTTTTGTTGCAGTAGCATTTATTTCCTACACATCTTCCAGTAGAAAGAATTTTGAGCCTGACGATGTGAGCCCTGACTTGGTTGGTTTACAATAGAGAGGAGGTCAGTATCTCAGGATGGGCGTTTGTGCCTGAAGAGATGGAGAGATGTGAAACAGTGAGCGTGTCTCATAAGGACAGGGGCTGGTCTCGCTATAATCAGTCTGCTGGTTCTGTGCAGGTTGTTTCCACTGCAGCTCATTTCTCCCCAACAGGCCCCTGATTCAAGAGAAGATTAAAGTTCTGGGTGAAGCCGGGCTTTCTGAGACCAATTTTTCAGAAATGACAGAAGCTGCAGATTATTTCTACAAGGTAACACCAGCATGTGGCTCCCTGCCACTGGGGTGTCCAGAGGTCCTGAGCGGGAAGGTGTGAATCACTCCTGGGGACCTCCCCCAGCTGGGGAGCTAAAATGATGGTTGCATTCGTTCTCGGGTCAATCTGTGTGTGTGCGTCTGTTTATGGAGAAGTGCTGGCATTAACTCCTGCTGCTTCTGACATGCCCTCCTCAAAAACCACGGCCTCCAAATGCTGCCTCTTCCATCAGGCCATTAGAAACGGACAGAAAACGCCCCATGGCAACAGCTGAATTGTTGCAAAAAGTACATAGCAGCAGCACCCAAACACATCCCCAGCACAGAATGGGGAGTGTTTCACATAGGGTGTTGCTTCTGTGTAGCATATTTTCCCCTCTGTTGCTGCACCTTATCCTCAGTGACTCCCCATTTTATAAAGGGGTGAGCAGAGACTTGCGGAGCAGCAAGACTCTCCCGCAGTCATGGGTCACTTGAAGCCAGCCCAGGCGGAAGGCTTCCAGACTCAGCCAGCATTCCCTGTGCGACGGCCCCTCTTACTGTCAAGGAGAGTAAGATCCTGTGAGCATCCTTCCGTGACCAGGTGGGGCCTTGTCAGAGGTGCTGAGAGGAGGCCTGTTTGCCTCTGGAGAGGGCAGCCCAGGGCCCAGCAGGCCTGCCCTGGCCTAGCTCTCCAGCCCCATGGCTGCCACAGCCCTTCCCCCTCCATTTCAGTGAAGCAAGGTAGAGGAGCCAGAGGTGCAAAGACTCCCAAAGGCTGGTCTTCTTTCACCTGCTCGGGTGGTTGACAAGGAACGTGAGAACTCGGGAGGTCCTGCCTGACGGAGGGGGACCCCTGGGGGGTTATTTCTAATGAGAGCATGGACAGAGGTCTGAGCCTCGTGTAGAAAGGCGGCCCTGCGCTTCAGGAAGCTGACATGCCGCCTCCTTCCTGTGGAATTGCCGAGCATCAGAAGCTGTCAGGTCCACACGATCTTGTAGGTGATGCTAAGACTTGTCTGAGGATATAATCTTTCATTTACATTTGCTTGCAACTAAATTCTTTCTTCGTAATGTAATTATTGGGATAAATAAGACTCAGGGGAGATTATATTTTTAAACACAGGGTATAAACTATCCTTATAATTAATAAGCCAATTTTAAGACAACCTTCCTTTTAAACTTTTTGAAGAACTGTCTAATTCAGTTGAATGGTGACTGTTTTGACAGAGCCTTGGTTGTTATGTGCCCTTTGAAAAGAAAGAGCCTTATTTTTAAAGGCTTCTCAACTAATGAGAATAGGTTTATTTATAACTCATTTATTTATACTGGCCTGACCCTCAGTTGCTTTGAATTAGTTAGGAATTTCTGCCTAGGGACTTCCCTGGTGGCGCAGAATCCGCCTGCCAGTGCAGGGGACACGGGTTCGAGCCCTAGTCCGGGAGGATCCCACATGCCGCAGAGCAACTAAGCCCATGCGCCACAACTACTGAGCTTGTGTTCTACAGCCCGCGAGCCCCAACTACTGAGCCTGTGCACCACAACTAACTGAGCCTGTGCTCTGGAGCCCACGAGCCACAACTAACTGAGCCTGTGCTCTAGAGCCCGCGAGCCGCAACTCCTGAAGCCTGTGCGCCTAGAGCCCGTGCTCCACCACAAGGGAAGCCACCACAACGAGAAGCCCGCGCACCACAACAAAGAGTAGCCCCCGCTCTCCGCGACTAGAGAAAGCCCACGCACAGCAACAAAGACCCGATGCAGCCAAAAATAAATTAATAAAAAAAACAGAATTTCTGCCTAAAGTACAAATGGAGTTTATCAATATTTATTTTGATTAATAATTATATCACTTAAAAAAAATTAAAATAGGGCTGAAAACTGTATCAACTATTAGGAAAAGAGAGTGTTGCCTCCTGTATAGGAGCCAAAAGCAGAAGAGGTCATGTCTGCCTGCCTGCTGGGAAGGGAAGTGAAATACTGTCTGATCTTGGAACTTGCTTCCCTTTAATTATGCGTGCTCCAAGTTAGCACATAGCGTTGCCATCACGTCCTCAAATGCACATGGACAGCTGTTTCTACCTGGAGTAGGCTGCCTCGTGGGCGGCATTTCCTCGACCTTGCAGTTGCTCAGACAAAAGCTGATATCACAGAGGAGGACATGCGGCTGGTGTGGGGCTGACCTTAATGACCTTTAATGTCACTTCCCATCTGAATAGCTAGGATCCTGAAAGGCGAGAGAATGTAGGGTACAGATTATTGAATAATCTAGAGTCCTTGCAGGATCAGTTTTCAAGAACTTCGCTAGTGTGGAGGGCTTCTGTGAAAGCAAAGAAATAGTGGCCAGTTAGGTTGAGACCTGACTCCAAAGGGCCTGGAAAGCCAGGGAAGCAGCATTAGACTCGATGAGGTAGGCACAGGGGTGCCCAATGATGTGACAGGAAAATCTTGTTAGAGGATAGTCTGTAGGGAAAAATTAGCCTGGAAAAGACCGGTGAGCAGTTGACGTGGGAAGAGGCCTGAGGTGGGAAGTGCAGTGAAGCCATTTCAGATTCAGGCAGGTACAAAGCAATGTGGCCCAAGTAAAGAGCCTGCCTGCGAAGTATCTGGGAGGGAACAGACGGAGAAACCAACCTGATGCAGTTTGATGGGTGAGATCCGGAGTCAGGATGCCCTGATTGCAAGCTAGGGGTACTATGAGAACAGTGCGAGACCATCAAAACTAGGGAACAGGACCTGCTTTGGGGATGTAGGAGTGAGATGACAGATGGTTGTGGTTTTTAGACAGGTTTAGTTTTATGGACCTGTGGGAGGTCAGTGGAGATACTGAATATGTGCCTGTGGGTTGAATGATGGCCAGGGTTAGGAATTTAGACAGAGGAGAGATCAGCAAAGGGGTGAGAGCAAGCCCGTCATCTGCCGTGGTCATAACAGCTGGGTGTGATTTTCGCACTACACCATCGTTGTCAATGCACAGATGCAGTTGGAGGGCATTTTGATCATTTGTAACTTTAGGGTAGTCAGAATCAGGTACTTGTATCTACTTATCAATATGTTAAGTGTGTGTTTTATAACCACTCAGAGAATTAGGTATAAGCCATGGCTGAACACACCAATTCGGGAGTTGAATTACAGGCTAACTAACCTCTTAGTGGAGAAAGGCTTGGGAGCTGTTTCAATATTGAAATACTGATTTGTAAAGTTAGAAGGGAGAAAACATTCCCAACATAAATTAGTGTGAGAGCAGGTCCTGTGTCGCTTTCACAACCGTTCGTTTTCTGTTTTTCTTTCTTTACCCAGCAAGCAGCAGAGAAGCTAAGAAGCCAGACACAAAGGCAGTGAGGCTGCTTGAGTGATAGTTTACTGAGCTGGTCCCACAGTGGTGGAGAGAATGTCAGTGTTGGTGCCTGGGTGCTGATGTCTTTGTCTTTTCTTCCTCTGGTGAAGGACCCAAAGCAGCAGAAGATCTATGACTTTTTCCAGAAGTCCTTTGAGGAAGACGGAAGCGATATGGAGCTCCTGGAGGCAGCGGAGTCATTTGACCCAGGAAGTGGTTCCCAGGACACGGGAGACACACTGGACGGGAGCACATTGACAGGCAGTCCGCTGAAGAAGAGCAGATTTGAATTTTTTGATAACTGGGACAGCTTCACCTCTCCTCTGTAAGAGGGGCCAAAAATGCATTCAAAATCATGGAATTTATTAAAATAAAATGAGGCACTTTTTTGGAAAGGCTATGTTCCTCTGGTCATTACCACAGTGTTGGTCTCTGTCTCCAAGCCCGGCGGGTTACCAGGCATGTGTCAGCATTTCCTTTCATTATGTGTGGGTTTGCTTGGGTCTTAATTAACCGTAGCTTAACCTACTGAGAAACAGACAGTAGACTGTAGTAGTGGTGATTCATGTTCTTTAATTAACGAGGTGCTTCCTACACAGGACCCGAAATCTAGATTTGTAAAATGTATTGATTCAACAAATATTTATAGAGCACCTCATGTGTGCCAGGCACTGTTTTCTAGGTGCTGGCAGCAAATCACCAAAGAAAAGAAGAAAGTACACGCCTTTGCCCAAGTTATCATGTAACAGGAGAGGCAATAGTTCTATGTTCTATGAAAAAAGTACAGTAAGCTGAGGGTTTAGAGCAGGGGTTGACAAGCTTTTTCTATAAATAGCCAGATAGTAATTACTTTGGGCTCTGTGAGCCAGGATGTCTGTGTTGGAACTACTCAGCTCTGCTTCTGTGGTGCAAAATCAACCATTAGATAATCCGGAACAAGTGACTGTGGCTCTTTTCCAATAAAATTCTGTTACGGACACAATTTTGAGCTTCTCATAATTTTCATGTGTCGCAAATGACTATTATTTTCAACCATTTAAAAACATAAAAACTGTACTTGGCTCACAGGCCGTACAAAAACAGGCAGAGAGCAGGGTTTGGCCCACAGATCATAGTTTGCTAACCCCTGGGTTAGAGCAGCACCATCTAATAGAAATGTAACACAGGGCACATATGTGTTGTATTAGTATTACTAATTTGATCCTTCTTTATTTCCAAAGAGTATTTTTAAAAATGAAGGATCAGGGCTTCCCTGGTGGCGCAGTGGTTGAGAGTCCGCCTGCCGATGCAGGGGACACGGGTTCGAGCCCCGGTCCGGGAAGATCCCACATGCCACGGAACGGCTAGGCCTGTGAGCCATGGCCACTGAGCCTGCGCGTCCGGAGCCTGTGCTCCACAACAGGAGAGGCCACGACAGTGAGAGGCCCGCGTACTGCAAAAAAACAAAAAAAAACCAAACCCGTAACAATTAATAAATGGTAATAGGAAGATACATATTGATAATTACCTTAAATGTGAATGGATTAAATGCTCCAACCAAAAGACACAGGCTCACTGAATGGATACAAAAACAAGACCCATATATACGCTGTCTACAGGAGACCCACTTCAGAACTAGGGACACATACAGACTGAAAGTGAGGGGATGGAAAAAGATATTCCATGCAAATGGAAATCAAAAGAAAGCTGGAGTAGCAACACTCATATCAGATAAAATAGACTTTAAAATAAAGAATGTTACAAGAGCCAAGGAAAGACACTACATAATGATCAAGGGATCAATCCAAGAAGAAGATATAACAATTATAAATATATATGCACTCAACATAGGAGCACCTCAATACATAAGGCAACTGCTAACAGCTATAAAAGAGGAAATCGACAGTAACACAATAATAGTGGGGGACTTTTAACACCTCACGTACACCAATGGACAGATCATCCAGACAGAAAATTAATAAAACACAAGTGTTAAATGACACAATAGACCAGACAGATTTAATTGATATTTGTAGGACATTCCATCCAAAAACAGCAGATTACACTTTCTTCTCAAGTGCACATGGAACATTCTCCAGGATAGATCACACAGTGGGTCACAAATCAAGTCTTGGTAAATTTAAGAAAACTGAAATCATTTCAAGCATCTTTTCCAACTGCAACACTATGAGATTAGCAATCAATTATAGGGAAAAAAACGTAAAAAACACAAACACATGGAGGCTAAACAATACATTACTAAATAACCAAGACATCACTGAAGAAATCAAAGAGGAAATCAAAAAATACCTAGAGACAAGTTACAATGTAAACACACTGATCCAAAACCTATGGGACGCAGCAAAGGCAGTTCTATGAGGGAAGTTTATAGCTATACACGCCTACCTCAAGAAACAAGAAAAATCTCAAATAAACAATCTAACCTTACACCTAAAGGAACTAGAGAAAGAAGAACAAACAAAACCCAAAGTTAGAAGGAAAGAAATCATAAAGGTCAGAGCAGAAATAAATGAAATAGAAACAAAGAAAACAATAGCAAAGATCAATAAAACTAAAAGCTTGTTCTTTGAGAAGATAAACAAAATTGATAACCTTTAGCCAGACTCATCAAGAAAAAGGAGAGGACTCAAATCAATAAAATTAGAAATGAAAAAGGAGAAGTTGCAAAGGACACCACAGAAATACAAAGCATCCTAAGAGTCTACTACAAGCAACTCTATGCCAATAAAAGGGACAACCTGGAAGAAATGGACAAATTCTTAGAAAGGTATAATCTTCCAAGACTGAACCAAGAAGAAATAGAAAATATAATCAGACCAGTCGCAAGTAATGAAATTGAAACTGTGATGAAAAATCTTCCAACAAACAAAAGTCCAGGATCAGATGGTTTCACAGGTGAATTCTATCAAACATTTAGCGAAGGGCTAACACCCATCCTTCTCAAACTCTTCCAAAAAATTGCAGAGGAAGGAACACTCCCAAACTCATTCCATGAGGCCACCATCACCCTGATAGCAAAACCAGACAAAGATACTACAAAAAAAGAAAATTACAGACCAATATTACTGATAAATATAGATGCAAAAAATCCTCAACAAAATACTAGCAAACAGAATCCAACAACATTAAAAAAATCATACACCATGATCAAGTGGGATTTATCTCAGGGATGCAAGGATTCTTCAATATACACAAATCAATCAATGTGATACACCATATTAACAAATTGAAGAATAAAAACCATATGATCATCTCAATAGATGCAGAAAAAGCTTTTGATAAAATTCAACACCCATTTATGATAAAAACTCTCCAGAAAGTGGGCATAGAGGGAACCTACCTCAACATAATAAAGGCCATATATGACAAACCCACAGCAAACATCATTCTCAATGGTGAAAAACTGAAAGCATTTCCTCTAAGATGAGGAACAAGATAAGGATGTCCACTCTTGCCACTATTTTTTTTTTTTTTTGGCTGTGTTGGGTCTTCGTTGCAGTGCGCGGGCTTCTTATTGTGGTGGCTTCTCTTGTTATGGAGCATGGGCTCTAGGCACGCGGGCTTCAGTAGCTGTGGCACATGGGCTCAGCAGTTGTGGCTCACAGGCTCTAGAGTGCAGGCTCAGTAGTTGTGGCGCATGGGCTTAGTTGCTCCATGGCATGTGGGATGTTCCCAGACCAGGGCTTGAACCCGTGTCCCTGCATTGGCAGGTGGATTCTTAACCACTGTGCCACCACTATTATTCAACATAGTTTTGGAAGTCCTAGCCATGGCAATCAGATAAGAAAAAGAAATAAAAGGAATCCAAATTGGAAAAGAAGGAATAAAACTGTCACTGTCTGCAGATGACATAATACTACACATAGAGAATCCTAAAGATGTCACCAGAAAACTACTAGAGCTAATCAATGAATTTGGTAAAGTTGCAGGATACAAAATTTTTAATGCACAGAAATCTCTTGCATTCCTATACACTAACAATGAAAGATCAGAAAGAGAAATTAAGGAAACAATCCCATTCACCATTGCAACAAAAGGAATAAAATACCTAGGAATAAACCTACCTAAGGAGACAAAGACCTGTACTCAGAAAACTATAAGACAGCGATGAAAGAAATCAAAGATGACACAAACAGATGGAGAGATATAACATGTTCTTGGATTGGAAGAATCAACATTGTGAAAATGACTATACTACCCAAAGCAATCAACAGATTCAGTGCAATCACTATCAAATCACCAGTGGCATTTTTTACAGAACTAGAACAAAAAAGCTTAAAATTTGTATGGAAACACAAAAGACCCCGAATAGCCAAAGAAGTCTTGAGGGGAAAAAAACGGAGCTGGAGGAATCAGACTCCCTGACTTCAGACTATACTACAAAGTTACAGTAATCAAGACAATATGGTACTGGCACAAAAACAGAAATATAGATCAATGGAACAGGATAGAAAGGCCAGAGATAAACCCACACACATATGGTCAACTAATCTATGACAAAGGAGGCAGGGATATACAATGGAGAAAAGACAGTCTCTTCAGTAAGTGGTGCTGGGAAAACTGGACAGCTACATGTAAAAGAATGAAATTAGAACACTCCCTAACACCATACACAAAAATAAACTCAATATGGATTAGAGACCTAAATGTAAGACCAGACACTATAAAACTCTTAGAGGAAAACATAGGAAGAACACTCTTTGACATAAATCCCAGCAATATCTTTTTTGATCCACCTTCTAGAGTAATGGAAATAAAAATAAACAAATGGGACCTAATGAAACTTAGAAGCTTTTGCAAAGCAAACTACAAACAAGATGAAAAAACAACCCTCAGAATGGGAGGAAATATTTGCAAATGAATCAACAGACAAAGGACTAATCTCCAAAATATATAAAGAGCTCATGCAGCTCAATATTAAAAAAAACAAACAACCCAATCCAAAAATGGGCAGAAGACCTAAATAGACATTTCTCCAAAGAAGACATACAGATAGCCAAGAAGCACGTGAAAAGCTGCTCAACATCACTAATTATTAGAGAAATGCAATTCAAAACTACAATGAGGTATCACCTCACACCAGTTAGAATGGGCATCATCAGAAAATCTACAAACAACAAATGCTGGAGAGGGTGTGGAGAAAGGGGAACCGTCTTGCACTGTTGGTGGGAATGTAAATTGATACAGCCACTATGGAGAACAGTATGGAGGTTCCTTAAAAAACTAAAAATAGAACTATCATATGACCTGGCAATCCCACTACTGGGCATATACCCAGAGAAAACCATAATTCAAAAAGACACATGCACCCCAATGTTCACTGCAGCACTATTTACAATAGCCAGGTCATGGAAGCAACCTAAATGCCCATTGACAGACGAATGGATAAAGAAGATGTGGTACATATATACAATGGAATATTACTCAGCCATAAAAAGGAAAGAAATTGGGTCATTTGTAGAGCCGTGGATGAATCTAGAGATGTCACACAGAGTGAAGTAAGTCAGAAAGAGAAAACCAAATATCATATATTAATGCATATATGTGGAATCTAGAAAAATGAAACAGATGAACAGGTTTGCAGGGCAGAAATAGAGACACGGATGTAGAGGACAAATGTATGGACACCAAGGGGATAAAGCAGAGGGGTAGTGGTGGGGTGAATTGGGAGATTGGGATTGACATGTATACACTAATACGTATAAAATAGATAACTAATAAGAACCTGCTGTATATAAAAAAATAAAATAAAATTCATAAATAAGTAAATAAATTTTACTATAATTTTCCCCTAAATAGCAACTTAAATGTTTTCCTAAGAGTGATTAACATAGAGCAGTGGCTGCTGTTTCATCAGATAAGCTGTATTAAGTCCCTTCAAGAGTGGGAGCTCTGGGGCTTCCCTGGTGGTGCAGTGGTTGAGAGTCCGCCTGCCAATGAAGGGGACGCGGGTTCGTGCCCCGGTCCGGGAAGATCCCACATGCCGTGGAGCGGC